ATAAAATATGAGTTACTATTACACGGTAAAGCAGATCTGACTGTTCGCATAAATCAAAACATATTTAAAATTGTTCAAACAATCAATCAAAAAGATGTATATAATTATTGCAATTTTTCCGTCTTTCTCATCCTGTCTGTCGATCTTATATAATGAATGTAACTAACATTATGTAAATACTACGTAGAGGGTGTTCTAAGTTATACAACTTGTGCCCAATCCTTTTCTCATGAATAAAATATGTTTATAACAATACTGTTGACATTCTCTGTTTTTGGGACTATTTATGAAGTTACATATCAGTCCCGATCTATGACGTGGTTCAACATCACTTGTAGATTTACTGTGAATGAGCCTGATAGTACAATGAGGTCACCAATGGATCCACTATATACGTACATTTCTAAGGCTTAGCTGAAGACGAGGCGGCATTGTTAGGCAGGAAGGATTCTTCCTTTTTGTGACAACAACGCAATGTGAAAGAACTGTCACAGTACTACATGTGACCCTGATACCAATATTTTGTGTGTTTTACTAAATTGTGAGTGTGTGGATTCTCCAAACCTCAAAGGATTTGCTAACATTTTTACAATCTCAGAAACGGACCGGAGTGAAGAAGAATAAGCAGAAATTAAAAAGAAATATCATATTGCCTAATTTTACCATTAAACTGTTGGAGATTATTTATCTTATCTGCCATCGTTATTGTTACAATTTTCGTAACATTTATTCTACAAAAGAAAACACTTCTGCCGTAACGGGTGAATGAAAGCAAGGTAGGTAACTCCGCAAGTATTCAACTATATTCAACAAGTATATTGAGTATTAACTCCCCTGTTCCTTCACTCCGTTGAACCGGAAGTTGGCAGGGGTAATGGAGGTGAAGGACGATTTGATATGTCACGTGTGGCTCTTAAAATATTGAATTAAATATACTTTACGTTAGTAATTATTAAATATAAGGTTTGAAATCTGAGAGCACAACCCTATGAGGAAATGAGTGTCTACCTTTGATGATATTATATTTTGATATTAAAAATATTTTTTGAACCAAAGCGAGGGAAGTACGTTGCAAACGTTTGCTCGCATATGAGTGAGTGAGTGACTGAGTTTAGTTTTACGCCGCAATCAGCAATATTCCAGCTATATGGCGGCGGTCTGTAAATAATCGAGTCTGGACCAAACAATCAAGTGATCAACAGCATGAGCATCGATCTGCGCAATTGGGAACCGATGACATCTGTCAACCAAGTCCACCCGATCCCGTTAGTCGCCTCTTACGACATGCATGGGTTACTGAAGGTTCAATCTGACCAAGACCATCACGGGTTATTGCTCGCATATAGGAAGACTGGTCATTTTCTCTTTGTTGCGCAACCCTATTTGCTACAGAATGCCTGTGACTAGACTTTGCATATGTTTATGCTCACCTTTTCGCGAACACCTGGTGTCATCACTATTTCATAGTGATTCATAAACACATGCTTTGACATCGTATGGCATGGTGACAATCACTGGATTGTCTGGTCCAGACTCGATTTGCTTACAAATGACTGAACGACCAGAAATGGGCTTCGTAATGGGGACTCGAACGCTGCTGACGAAACAAATATATGCTCATGATAGTACAATCGATTCTGCCTTTAGCGGAGATTTCTTATGAGTGTTGAAAAGGTTTTGACGCTTCTATTGAAAAAAATTGCTTCCACCATGTTCGATAAACTGTTGTGTACAAAGTGCTTCTGCTGTGATCATGTAATCTCGGAATACTTGTTTCATGATTTTTATGATAGACTTTCAAATCAGCTCCGCCCAAATTCTATGGAAGCATATTATTGCCACAGACTATAATATATCATCATCCACGTACATGGTGCTTACTTCTAACGCAGAAGATACTAGCATCTACGTAGATACTTATATCTCCATATATGATATCATATTCGTTACTCGACCCGTGAAGATCCGGGTTAGAATATTGATCTTCAGTAACCCATGCTTGTCGTAAGAGGCGACTAACGGGATCGGGTGGTCAGGCTCGCTGACTTGGTTGACGCACGTCATCGGTTCCCAATTGCACAGATCGATGCTCATGCTGTTGATCACTGGTATGTTTGGTCCAGACTCGATTATTTACAGACCGCCGCCATATAGCTCACTTACTCACTCATATTCGTTACTCAGACTGTAATATTGCATTGTGAATTTGCGACCCTTGCTGGATATAGTTTACACAGTTAATGTATGATTTATTTACATGATCAGGTAGTCGTATATTTTCATTTGGCCATTTCTGTATTCACACAAGTTCATTTCAAACTGTCAGACTATCAGAGTAACAATAGCAAGCAAGCCTCAGATTTCCTTTTGTCCAATGTTCTGATAGTACCTCAATAGAGACATAAGGAGGTTGGATGTTATTGACAAAGCCAACAGACCAGGAACTACTGTCGATTACCAAAGTTGCTAGTTCGATAGTACATGAAAGTAATTTCAACTGGATGATATGTGTATATACTGTGGCGCGAATACGCTTCCATAAAAGCACAGGATGGTTTGTAAACTCCTTTTATTATAAGAGTTTTTTAAAACACTTTTATAATGATTTATTTTAATTCCATTATCCTTTGTTTAAAAGAGGAAATTACCGAACATTTCCCTGAGTGTTTTATAAACATTAACATGTATGTACAAACAATACGCTTTCAATCAGTGTTGTCATATAATCTTCAAGCCAGCCATGGTTACTACACGATACGTCATAATTGTCGACAAACACATCCTAAACAAACGGTATTTCTTTTATCAGATCCTCGGGTATCATCATTTCCAGCGATGTAGTTGACTCAATTTGTAAAGGGCGGTGTGTCTTAGAAACCAAGCGTGTAATCAAGGAAATATAGTATATACTTCTGATGGGTTATTGTTTACCATTCTTATCGATCGATATGTGGTCTATCGATGTATTCATATGGAAATGTTTTATTCAAAAAAGGTTTCTGTAGGAAGAAAGATACATTTTTACCCATCAAAATAAAGCATTCGTCAAGGGCATGGTAGAACGTTCTTTCAGCGTCATGATATTGTTAGAAGCTACGGAAATGTCTGTTGACAAACGACCCCGCACGGGTTTCTCTTTCAATGTCACTTTCCGTTTCAAGACTAATAATTTACACTTTGTACTTAGTACTTCAAACATATTCACAATTTGGTTTTGTAGGTAGGGTAATACACTTCTTGTCACGAAACGCGCTTGACCTATTTCCTTCTTTCATTCAGCATTCTCTGTGTGGAGGAAGCTTGTGTAAGACATTAAAGTGAGTGGGTTTTTACACCAGAAATGGGCTTCACACATTGTACTCAAATGGGGAATCGAACCCGGGTCTTCGTCGTGACGAGCGACCGTTTTAACCACTTGGCTATCCCACCGCCAGAAATTACAGTGATTTGTCATTATCGCGACACAGGTAAAATCTAGCGACGGTCAGGTTATCAGTTAAATAAACTACCGGTCAAAATAACGTTATCACCTACTTCACTTGACCCAAAAATAAAAACAAAGACCTATGTGAGATTTATGATAACTAGTCTACAAACATTTTTCAATAATGTGATTGAAAATTACACAAATCAGAATTCATTCAAAAAGTGCATAAAGAGTTCACAATGAAGCAGGTGTCAGGGACACGCCATCAATAGCTGGTGTGACCACCCTAGGCATCCATACACGCCAATAGACATCTCCTCATTGACGTCGTCAGTCGGAATCCTGTAAGTCCAAGAGAGTCTGTTCAAGTTCCAATCGGTTCACTGGAAGTGGTACACGCTGTGTCAGCTGACGATCAAGATGATCCCAGAGATTTTCAATTGGGTTCATGTCTGTAGAATGTGCTGGCCATGGCAATACGTTGCCGTTGACGTTGTGCAGGTGTTCTCGAACAATTCTGACGTTGTGAAGTCCCCGTCTTGGCCATAACTTTCTTTAACCCGGAAAATTTACTTGTTAAAGATAGTACGAGTTTCTACTAATAGAGCTTCCCGGCAAGTGGGTTGTTAGAATTAGAATGGAGGCGGTTTATTTATAAATAGATATTAAGTATGTTTATATTATTAGACAAATCAGTTGATTAAATGAAAGATCATCGATAAACAGTCCTATATCAGAACTACTGCGCAAAACGGCTTTCGGGAATTTGGAAGGATTCCAATGAATCATTAATGGCTCTCCAACATCTTCAATAGACTGAGGAATTATGTTTCCATCAGCTCCATCAAAGCAGGCATTGACAGTTAGACTCATATCCCTTCAGCCATCCCTCGTTCCATTAGTGATGATGAAAGCTTAGAGTAAGAAAGCAGAACCTGCAGTTGCCCACAAGGATATGGCACATTTTAGGGGGTTTTCTTATGTTATCGATAAACTTGTTCTGAAGAAACAATAACACTTAATGTAACTTTTCAGTTTCTATTTCGACTGTTTTTCCACTTCTACTCCTGTACAAATGGTCACTGAACATTTCCAGCCTTAATGCTAAAAGACTAATTATCGTTTAGTGCGGCATTAATGGCACATTATCAGTCATAACTGCTCTGCATGTCATCTGATTATGAGCATAAAACGTTTCAAAAGCTATCCAGTACACACGGATTCTATGTCAGCATTATCGGCAAATGGCATTGTGTGTCCAAAATGATCCCCTTCAAAAGTGGACGATAAAAGAACAACATGACACACAAAATGTCACCGGGTGGTGGGACGATGGGGTAGCCTAGTGGTTAAGGCGTTCACTCGTCACGCCGAAGACCAGGGTTCGATTCCCCACATGGGTACAATGTGTAAAGTCCATCTCTGGTGTCCCCCGCCGGGATAATGCTGGAGTATTGCTAAAAGCAGCGTAAAACGAAACTCACTCGCTCACTGATATGATGCTGAGTGCTGCGTGAAACAATAAACAAACAAATGCACAAACACAAACACACCAAATGTGTATTTTTTTCAGAACCAGTACACTATACCTGGCCGACTGCTGTTGGTTCCGGAATAATCAAGATGCTGGGCTGGACATCCGTAACCATTATCACTAATCATGAAACAGGTACGTGAGATACGTATACCCAGGGAGAATCTACAGCAGGGATAGGTAACTCGCTTGCTTTCTTTACCATTTGTACAAATTAGTGTGCTTCGTCATGCTCCAACGCACACAGTGACTTGGTTCGTTCCCAGCGCATCTTCGGTTGCGTTTGACAGTACTTCAGCAATTTTATTATACCAGTTAGAAACTATCGGCATACTTTTTGCAAGCAGAAGCTATACTGTCAATATGATCATGCATGTTTCCTTAAATATTTACGTCTTCTATTCTCCCTGGTATACCCTACAAGTTACGTATTTTTAACTCCGTAATTATGATCGTTACATTTACAGGTCGTGGTTTTCGACAGCCGTAGCTTGTTCGCTGCTGTGTTACGTGACAGAATAACTCACAGCTGATTGGCTGGTGTATATGACGGCAACAATCAATAAATGGACAGTCGAAAGTTTCTTTTCTATTGAAGTTATTTCAGCCTCATTGAATATCGAAAGTTTGAGGATTAGATTTATTCTATTTTCAATAAGTAGCGGTCGGTATCTTTTGTTATATTATGGAAATAGCTTCCGACATTAGTTCGAAAATAACAATTTGTTTATTCAGACATAATCTTTATACTGACAATGAAGTGTTTAAGACGATGAGTTAAAGATGCAACTGCAAAGAAACATGCTCCTTTCCGCTTAAGAACGTTTCTGATGGTGGTGTTACCACAGAGGGAAAACCAACTCAGACGAAGTGGTGAGATTAAAATAAACTAACGGGCAAAAGAAACGATACCAAGTCGAAATCACTGATATTACAAAACGACAAACCACCATTGTGAAAAAGGACAGTGAATTTTAATAACAGGTGTATGGGCAACATGCACTCCAGTCATTTCATTGGAGTGGCGACAATAACAAGACGATTGAGTCACTGTATAAATGAAGAAATGAAGTCCAAATTATCAAATTAAATTTTGGCATCGTTTCTTTTGCCCGTTAGTTTAAAAATCTGTCTGAGTCAGGAAATCGTGTTTTGGACACATAAGATATAACCTATAATCACTTTTGTCTATGTGTATATCGCAGAAACAGAGGTGTCACTACTGGTGGAATCCACTGACGCCATGCCGCACACCATTCTACGTGTTGGTCCCACTACAAATCGGACGTTCCTCCAAGACTATTTGATGAGAGTGCAGCTGATGCAATCACGGCATCACAACTACCTCGTCGTCTGTGGGCGGACCTGCATCGCCGATGTCCTCGATGTGGTTAGTGTACTGGTTGATTCGACACACACCATAGAACCCCGTGAAGAGTCCTTGTTACAATAGGTCCTGAGTGAGTGAGTGTACTGGTTGATTCAACCCACACCATAGAACCCCGTGAAGAGTCCTTGTTACAATAGGTCCTGGTGAGTGAGTGTACTGGTTGATTCAACACACACCATAGAACCCCGTGAAGAGTCCTTGTTACAATAGGTCCTGAGTGAGTGAGTGTACTGGTTGATTCAACACACACCATAGAACCCCGTGAAGAGTCCTTGTTACAATAGGTCCTGAGTGAGTGAGTGTACTGGTTGATTCAACACACCATAGAACCCCGTGAAGAGTCCTTGTTACAATAGGTCCTGAGTGAGTGAGTGTACTGGTTGATTCAACACACACCATAGAACCCCGTGAAGAGTCCTTGTTACAATAGGTCCTGGGTGAGTGAGTGAGTGTACTGGTTGATTCAACACACACCATAGAACCCCGTGAAGAGTCCTTGTTACAATAGGTCCTGAGTGTGTGAGTGTACTGGTTGATTCAACACACACCATAGAACCCCGTGAAGAGTCCTTGTTACAATAGGTCCTGAGTGAGTGAGTGTACTGGTTGATTCAACACACACCATAGAATCCCGTGAAGAGTCCTTGTTACAATATAGAGTCCTGAGTGAGGTGAGTGTACTGGTTGATTCAACACACCATAGAACCCCGTGAAGAGTCCTTGTTACAATAGGTCCTGAGTGAGTGAGTGTACTGGTTGATTCAACACACACCATAGAACCCCGTGAAGAGTCCTCGTTACAATAGGTCCTGAGTGAGTGAGTATACTGGTTGATTCGACACACACCATAGATCCCCGTAAAGAGTCCTTGTTACAATAGGTCCTGAGTGAGTGAGTGTATTTTTTAGACGCTTTTAGCAATATTCAGCAATATCATGGCGGGGACACTAGAGATAGGTTTCATAAATTGTACCATATGGGTAATCGAACCCGCTACTTCGCCATGACGATTAAAACCAATAAGCTACCCCGTGAAGATCCGGGTTCAGTCTTCAGTAACCCATTCTTGTCGTAAGAGGCGCCTAATGGGATCGGATGGTCAGGCTCGCTGACTTGGTGAACACATGCCATCGTATCCCAAATGCTCATGCTGTTGATCAATGGATCGTCTGGTCTAGACTCGATTATTTACAGGCCGCCACCATATAGCTGTAATATTGCTGAGTGCGGCCTTAAAATATACTCTCACCCTCACCCACGTTTCCAAGTAACTTCAATTGTTTTGTAAGTGGCACCTTAATAGATCGGGGGGTCAGGCTAGATGACTTGGTTGATTGCGTGTCAACGTACGGCGTTGATAGTTGTTCATAATATCAACCACTTGGTGAGATTTCATCATTTGCAGACAGCGTGTTACATGGCTGGAATATTGCTAAATGCGGCATAAAAAAAACATACCTTTGATACAAGCTCCAAAACACAGTGAAACAGGGTACCCATTCCGGGTAGGGTCGACTGGATCAGTAGGTATACAACCCTCTATTTGAGATTATGTTACAGGTTAACAATCTTGACGCCGAGTCCGGCTACAGAACATTTACCCGCAGCCAGTCACGATGGGTAGTGTTGGAGCCACCTGGTGGATTTCCAAATCTGACGTTACTGGGTGATCAACTGGATAACCTGGTTACGGTGGTGGGTATAGATTGGATCATGTTACAGTGAGTGAGTTTAGTTTTACCCCGCACTCAGCAATATTCCAGCTATATGGCGGCGGTCTGTAAATAATCGAGTCTGGACCAGACAATCCAGTGATCAACAGCATGAGCATCGATCTAAGCGATTGGGATACGATGACATGTGTCAACCAAGTCAGCGAGCCTGACCACCCAATCCCGTTAGTCGCCTGTTACGACAAGCATGGGTTACTGAAGATCAATATTCTAACCCGGACCTTCACGGGTCCGCTCATGTTACAGTAACACCCAGCATGCTCTAAGACACAAACACAAATGGACCTATTCCTGTCTGTAATGACCTCGTGTTGATCATTGTTACTGGAGAGAGTTTACTTCAAAGCAGCTACATATTATGTCATCATTGTACCACGATACCTTGTCAGCCAGCTATCACTTATCCACTTTTTGTGTCCTTGTATCGCACCGTTTTCACTACCTTGTTTGTTTTCATGATTTACCAATGGTGTTCATTTGTCAGTCAATTGTGTTTTCAGTACCAATATTGTGTTCACTTGATTTTTTCAGTACCATGACTGTGTACGCTTGGTTTTCTGTACCATTATTGTGTTCACTGAATTGTCACTAAAGTTATTGTCTTCCTCAGATTTTCAATACCAGTATTGTGTTCATTTTATTCAAAGTACCGAGATTTTGTTCACTATATTGCCCGTCAGTAGTGTTCACTGAATTGCCAATAGAACTATTCTGTTCGGTGGATTTCCAATACCGTTAGTGTGTTCACTTTATTGTCAGTGGAGCTATTTGTGGTAACTGGATTGTCAACTGGATTGTCATTAGATCTATAATTGTGTTTACTGGATTGTCAGTAGATCTATAATTGTGTTTACTGGATTGTTAGTAGATCCATAATTGTGTTCACTTTATTCATAATTGTGGTACTGGATTGTCAGTAGATCTATAAGATCTACTGGATTGTCAATAGATCTATAATTGTGTTCACTGGATTGTCAGTAGATCTATTGTAGAGCGATAACTTTGTTCACTGGATTGTCAGTACATCTATAATTGTGGTCACTGGATTGTCAATAGATCTATAATGTGTTCACCGATTTCTCAGCTGTGGAGATTCACTGAATGTGCTCACTGGATTCTCAATTGTGTTCACTGGATTGTCAGTAGAGATTGTCAATGGAGCTATTGTGTTCACTGGAATTGTCAGTGAGAGTGGATTCTCACTGAATTGTGTTCACTATTGGATTGTCAGTGGAGCGATAAGTGTGTTACTTGATTGTTCAGTGGATTCTCAGTTCACCGTTAATTGTGCTCACTGGATTGTTAATTGTCAGTGGAGCTATTAATGTGTTCACTGGATAGAGCGATAATTGTGTTCACTGGATTTTCAGTGGAGGTATTGTGTTCACTGGATTGTCAGTGGAGTGTTTGTGTTCACTGGATTCAATCAGTGGAGCTATTGTGTTCACTGGATTCTCACTGTAATTGTGTTAATGTGCTCTGGATTCTCAATACTGTTAATGTGATTCTCAGTGGAGCTGTTAATGTGTTCACTGGATTCTCAATACTGTTAATGTGTTCACTGGATTGTCAATAGAGTTGATGTGTGTTCACTGAGATTCTCAATACTGTTAATGTAATCCGAGATTCTCAATACTGTTAATGTCTCACTGGATTTCTCAATACTGTTAATGTGCTCCGAGATTCTCAATACTGTTAATGTGCTCCGAGATTCTCAATACTGTTAATGTGCTCACGAGATTTTCAATACCGTTAATGTGCTCCGAGATTCTCAATACCGTTAATGTGCTCACGAGATTCTCAATACTGTTAATGTGCTCACTGGATTTCCAAGAAATGGTGAATGCCTACGACATGCATCTCCTCAGATTTTCCATCCTCATTCAGCTGACATGATGTCATATAACGGAAATCAATTCTGTTTTGAAAATCAACGGACTCGTTTCCTCAAAATATTTGACATGTACCAAAATTTTCAGATTCAACTTTTTTGTATATTATTCTGTGACAATAGATTGTTGAGAAATATGCTCAAAATGAAAAGTCTGTTTTGTAAAAAAATACCTGGACAAAGCTTAAGTCTTCACGTGTTTGAATATTGTTTTACACAGGAATCGACAATGAATCAAAATGGCCAGTAGATGGTGGCTAAAGACCAGAACAATGCAAAATCCTACGTGAACAATTTTAGCAGCGAAAGGCAAACAGTAACACAAAACGTAATCATTATTTGAATTTACACAGGATTTTCCTGGTAAATTATATCAACACAAATTCACCTAAACAAATAGATGGAAATTATTATAATATTATTTGTTGTTTTTGTTTTTCCAGAACCAGACGGGGGGTGATATTGACTTGTACACGCTGATGTGGGCCCCCGGGGGCCGGGAGTGGCGCCAGATCAACATGGACGCATGCAGGCAAAACTGTTCCCTAGCATCTCAAATATTTCCTAACAGCTTTATTGGTTATAATGGGAAACGCCTAACTGTTGCTCTGATGGAGGTAAGTACAAATGTATATAAACGTTTTTAATGGATATGTTCATTTCGTATGGAAGGTTGTACTTTTAAAGAGCAGGATAGAAAAATCAAAACCCATAGGTTTGACATGGCTGTTTTTGTTTTGAGAGCAGTAATTTCTTTTCTAAGAACTTTTATAAGATTGGAATTTAATTAGGGCAGGATACTGGTCTGTTAATATGCTTCAGAAACATGATGTTTTAAGGTCACATGCAACCAAAAAATCAAGCATAATTAAAACACAATTATCGCTTATTCATGACATATAATACATGTATACATTGTTGATTATTAAGAAACATATAAACAAAATTATAAGCGTACAATCGCAATTCAAAAGTGCAATATTTTGTACTTGGTTTACTTCCCTCGAAACGAAGCACCCGGGATACCGAACCCAGTCAGAGAGGGTGGGTGTGCACTCAAGTGTAACGAAGGCTTTCATTGGCTGGTTCATTTGCCGATGCCCTCACGGTTCATTGTGTGTGTGTATGTATGTGTGTGTGTGTGTGTGTGTGTATATATGTATATTCTTGCTAATGGTTTTTGTATAAAAAATTGTGTACTCGGTTTTATCATCAACATGGATTTTACTCAATCACTATACAACGCCTAGGTGCGTTTTCTTCACATGTCGACATGGTCAAACCTGACTGTCCTAATTTATACAGACAACGGCTCAATTCATTCTTGGAACGAAATGCGCCATATCGTATCAAACCATGAGTGCCATATCCTCTTTAATCCAGAATAGTAAATAACACAATTAATGGCACCACGCCTATCCCAACAGCCGTTATATGCCTTTACAGTCAAACACTGTTGTGTCGATGTGTCGAACATACTATTGTCTCGAAGTTTGTTCCCACCGTATTCCTTATTATTACCTACGAGGGCGAAATATCGGGGTTCATATTTTTCATACGATGCCAAAGGGCAAAATATCACTTTGTCATAGTGACGTGCTATGACGTCGCGTTTCTTCTGTGACGTTGCGTTCTACATGCGGCGACGGCGGGTAGCCAGCCTATGTTTGAATGTAGATTTGGGTTTGTTTCCTCAATTTGAAGACTTCGGAAAGAAACAGAATATTATATTCGTGGCCATATCATACTATGTTTACGACACTCGTGCCTAAATATCGGCATATCCCTCGCTCTAGCACGGGAAATACCAACATTTAGGCACTCATGTCGTAAACATAGTATGACATGGGCACTCATATAATATCCTCTATTTAATCATCGTTTATCGGTTGTATCGAACCTCGGATAACTCGAATAATTTACTTAGGTCATTCAACTTCGACACAAAGGTTTCTGGCTGTATCGGGGTATTAAGAGTGAGTTTAGCAGTATTCGTGACATTGGGGCAGTACAGAACTTTGGTTCACTCCAGTGGCCACGAGACTATACCACCGACCCTCTTATAAGACGAAACGTCTCTTTATAGTGAATGAGTTAAAATTTATCACGTCGGCAATAATTCAGCCATATCATGTAGTAGTCCTATTACGTCACATATTGGCACATTTGGGCTTTTGGGTAATTGTATAGGAAATTCGTGAATTTCAAAATTTGACTGTGATAAATCAGGTTGGTTTATGTGTTGTACATAACGAGGAAGAATCTGAAACAGTGCGGGATACACCCCGGCCTGCAGGGCGCCTGAAACAGACTGGCAAAACACGCTTTTCTGTTGAATGTGTCTCTGTTGATATAACATCCTAAATATTGTTGTGTGTCTTTAAATTTAAATGTGAAGTTACAATGTAGTTTTCCGGTATATTTGTGACAGTATTCTTAAAAGTCCCTGTGACGTGTGAGTAATAGAATACAATGCACGTGAATTTCTGTATCTTTTAACAAGATGTCAACATAAGATCTCAGTTGTAAAGTTGTTTAAATACGTGCCTTGTTAGAAAAAAACAACGTTTACCACAATCACGATGTTGCCTGCGTGTCATGTTTTGACAATAACGACAACGACGCATGAATATACTTCAGCGCTTATTAACTGTGGCGACAACGTGTTTCAGCAGTGAGTGAGTTTAGTGTTGTATCGCTTTTAGCAATACTCCAGCAACATCACGGCAGGGGGACACCAGAAATGGGCTTCACACATTGTACCAATTTGGGGAATCGAACCTGGGTCTTCGGCGTGACGAGCGAACGCCTTAACCACTAGGCTACCCCACCGTCCCCTGTTTCAGGATGTAAAAGGTGTAACTGCATAATTCCTATAACAGGGTGAAGGTGTAAGACAGGGAATGCACTGAATCCAGCATTGTTCGTATAGTTTAAAACATTGGTGAATTAATTAAACATTGTTTTAAAAATTGTTTTCTATATTTCATTATTGAGACATGACGCTGCATTGAGGTTATTAGTGTTTCCATGTGTTTTCAGTGGAGACAGTTCATCATAAGGTCAGAGACTAACGGGTCAACCACCTACAAAGGCTACTGTATAGAACTTCTGGAAATAATGGCTTCCGTGCTAAATTTCACGTACGTCTTTGCTTGTCGTTACAAAATATAAATCCTTTGAAATACGGGGTTTCTTTACGGATATTTTGTTTTCTTACTAATGTATCCATTTGAAAAAGCATGTTCAAATGTAAGGTTTGTTAATACCTATCAACATTTTTTATAGCGAGGACAAAAGGGTTTCGAAAACAGATGTGTTTTATTCTTCACATTTGAGCAATTAACTCCATGTACACTCCGACCTACACTAGAACCCGTGAAGATCCGGGAAAGACTTGGTCTTCTGCAACCCATGCTTGTCGTAAGAGGCGACTAACGGGATCGGGTGACTTGGTTGACACATGTCATCGTATCCTAATTGCGTAGCTCAATGCTAATGCTGTTGATCACTGGACTGTCTGGTCGAGACTCGATAAGTTACAGACCGCCAGCATAAAGATGGATTTTTGCTGAGTGCGGCGTTAAACAACAAACCAACGAACCAACCTACACTAACAGTTCTGACGTAGATAATCACTTAATCTCCTGTACCAGAAAGCCAGATTGAAGTTTTATAACATACGAACATAAAAACAAAGCAAAAGATATGCGTATAATGAAGACTGCATTTATTCAAAATGGGATTCACTTCTTCATGACTGAGATGCTAGCATCTTGTCGTCCTTTCGTCCTGTGCAAGATCATACTCTGGCTCGAGACACTGATTCCAGGACATCACCTCAGGGCATTCCACATTGTCTCAGTTCACCCAGCTGTAAAATGGGTACCCGTGAGGATGGTCTGGCAATGTGAGTGATTAGTTCTTTGCGCCTAACAGGCAGCATGACTGTATGATCCCCAGTAAGTTGAAAAAGCATCGGATAGTTTGATGGTGTTCTATGACCGGGGATAGTAATGTACGTGGCGCCGTGAGCAGGCAATATGCCTAGATATGAGTGCCATATAAGCGCCATATATTACCTCAACATCTCTCTTTAGATACGTCTTAGTGGAACCTCCTGACCGACGCTGGGGTGTTGAGATAAACGGCCACTGGGACGGCATCGTACGTCAACTCATAGACAGGGTACGTGTCGGAACTAGTATTAATATTTGTGTAAAAAGTGACTCATGAAAAAACACTAAACTATTAAAATTTTGTGATAAGGTAGTCAGACCGTTGTATGAAGTTGTTTCTCATAATAGAATCTCGGATTTGTTTTGCGTAGTCGGAGCCATTGGTAAATGAAAGAAGAAATACTTGATACAAGCTCTGAATATTGTTTCAGAATTGTCCTTCAGGATTGGTGAAATATTTAACTCTGGTAGAGTTTGTTCCAAGATACATATTCAGCACGTACTTTGTCTCATCATTTGACATAGTTTGTAGTCACATACAAACTGCTTAATGGTCACGCCATATCTGAGTTGTGATATCGTACAGGTTGTTCAGCTTGACCTGATCAAGTGAATACTAATGCATTGCGTGACCGTGTCACAACTGGTTGGGTCCATTATTGTGAAGGGGTGCAGCTTTGTCAGTTCATTGTCAACAGCCGAGACAAGGTCGCCGTTTGACATCTCAGTGTCGAGAAATCGTCAGCAATGTCCTAACTTTCTTTAAAAGGAAGCTAGAGATGGTTTAATGTTTCCGATTCGGGCTTTTAGGCATTAATAACCTTCTCTGCTCCCCTTTTTAATGAAGTTAACTTGACCTGCCGTTTGTGCCTTTTGACCTCCCGGGTCATGCATATGTAGAGTAGCTCAGGTCAAGCTGAACAAGCTGTACATCTATAGCAGTAGTATATGTAGTAGTATATGTATTCTAGCAGCAGAGTGACAAGATTACCACACCATCTACCACAATCTCAAGTGCATTGATTCACTGGGAACTCTGTGACAAAATATGTACCATGAATCACTAATGCAAAATTTAGTTTAAACTGAAATCTGGTTCAATGCTGCAATAAATCCAATCACTTCTCAAATTACAAAAAAATCACCCTTATCATATCCAAGAAAACAGTAAAAAGCATTCTAAGACTACATGAAACAAAACAATGATGTAACCGGGGCCTTTTGGAATCTGTTTAAGCGAATATTCGAGAATAGTTATGGTTTCATGGTTACTGGATGTTCAATATATATCGAAGATGAAAGTTGTTATACCATAAAGGGTCACCTTTCTATGTATATTACACCTGTAGTGTGGGCAAAACAGGGTCGTTATTATACCTAGTCATTTAATTTATTTTGTTTTAACTGCAGGAGGTGGATTTTACGATTGCTCCCCTAGCAATGTCATCAGAACGCCAGCGAGTGATCGACTTCCTTTCCACGCCTATCTCATACGAGTACTCTGACATAGCATTTAGGCGGCTCGACAAGCGAGTGTCAAAATGGCGTCTTTTACTGGACTTGTTTCATCCTAAAGTCTACCTATGTCTGTCGGTAGCGCTGTTCACAGTTACCTGTATCTTGGCCTACATCGTGCACTGGATGGAAGGAAGGTCACATGGCATTGTGAAGTCATTTGCTGTTTCCTTTTGGCATGCGTTTGCATGCATGTGTCAGAAAGGTAATCAACATTGGCGTGTAATATTACATTTGATAGCATAGATATAGCCACTTCCTTTTAAATGCAAAGTGTGTGAGTGAAATATACCTTCAGTCAGGACACTTTAGCCTTTTCGCGAACACCGGGTGTCCACCCTTTTTCCGTGATCCATTTCTATGATTGCCACAGCTACTTTACTTCTAATGCCAAAGTGGAATCTGTTTCCGAGTTAAGTCTCTGTCGGGATTGCAATAAAGTCAAACAAACATAGTCAGGAAGACAGAAAAAGAGATAACTTTGTTATCCCATTAGCAGCTCGTCTTTCTCCTCCTGTAGATGAATGTTGTTATCCCAATAGAAGCTTGCCTTTTCTCCTGTAGATGAATGTTGTTATCCCAATAGAAGCTTGCTTTTCTCCTGTAGGTGAACGTTGGTATCCCAATAGAAGTTCACCTTTCTCCTCCTGCAGGTGAACGTTGCTTTCCCAATAGAAGTTCACCTTCTTCCTCCTGCAGGCGAACGTTGCTTTCCCAATAGAAGTTCACCTTTCTCCTCCTGTAGGTGAACGTTGCAATCCCAATAGAAGTTCACCTTTCTCCTCCTGTAGGTGAACGTTGCTATCCCAATATATGTTAACCTTTCTCCTCCTTCTGTAGGTGAACATTGTTCCCAATAGAAGTTCACCTTTCTCCTCCTGCAGGTGAACGTTGCTTTCCCAATAGAAGTTCACCTTCTTCCTCCTGCAGGCGAACGTTGCTTTCCCAATAGAAGTTCACCTTGTTCCTCCTGCAGGTGAACGTTGCTTTCCCAATAGAAGTTCACCTTCTTCCTCCTGCAGGCGAACGTTGCTTTCCCAATAGAAGCTCACCTTCCTCCTCCTGTAGGTGAACGTTGCTTTCCCAATAGAAGTTCACCTTCTTCCTCCTGCAGGCGAACGTTGCTATCCCAATAGAAGCTCACCTTCTTCCTCCTGCAGGTGAACGTTGCTTTCCCAATAGAAGCTCACCTTCTCCTCCTGCAGGTGAACGTTGCTTTCCCAATAGAAGTTCACCTTCTCCTCCTCCTGCAGGTGAACGTTGCTATCCCAATAGAAGCTCACCTTCCTCCTTCTGTAGGTGAACGTTGCTGCCCCAATATAAGATCACCTTCCTCCTCCTGCAGGTGAATATTGTTGTCCCAATAGAAGCTCACCTTTCTCCTCCTGCAGGTGAACGTTGCAATCCCAATAGAAGCTCACCTTTCTCCTCCTGCAGGTGAATATTGTTGATCTCAACAGAAGCTCACCTTTCTCCTCCTGCAGGTGAATATTGTTGTCCCAATAGCAGCTCACCTTTCTCCTCCTGCAGGTGAACGTTGCTGTCCCAATAGAAGCTCACCTTTCTCCTCCTGCAGGTGAACGTTGTTGTCCCAATAGAAGCTCACCTTTCTCCTCCTGCAGGTGAACGTTGTTATCCCAATAGAAGCTCACCTTTCTCCTCCTGCAGGTGAATATTGTTGTCCCAATAGAAGCTCACCTTTCTCCTCCTGTAGGTGAATATTGTTGTCCCAATAGAAGCTCGCCTTTCTCCTCCTGCAGGTGAACGTTGTTATCCCAATAGAAGCTCGCCTTTCTCCTCCTGCAGGTGAACGTTGTTGTCCCAATAGAAGCTCACCTTTCTCCTCCTGTAGGTGAACGTTGCTATCCCAATAGAAGCTCAGCTCCTCCTGCAGGTGAGCGTTGCTTCCCAATAGCAGCTCGCCTCCCTGCAGGTGAGCAGCTCACCTTTCTCCTCCTGCAGGTGAACGTTGTTATCCCAATAGAAGCTCACCTTTCTCCTCCTGTGAGGTTGAGCGTTCCTTTCTCCCAATAGCAGCTCAACAGAAGCTCACCTTCTCTCCTCCTGCAGGTGAATATTGTTATCCCAATAGCAGCTCACCTTTCTCCTCCTGCAGTCTCAATAGAGCTCACCTTTCTCCTCCTGCTTTCCCAATAGAAGCTCACCTTTCTCCTCCTGCAGGTGAACGTTGCTGTCCCAATAGAATCACCTTTCTCCTCCCAATAGGTGAGCGTTGCTATCCCAATAGAAGCTCACCTTTCTCCTCCTGCAGGTGAATATTGTTGTCCCAATAGAAGCTCACCTTTCTCCTCCTGTAGGTGAACGTTGCTATCCCAATAGAAGCTCACCTTTCTCCTCCTGTAGGTGAACGTTGCTATCCCAATAGAAGCTCACCTTTCTCCTCCTGTAGTGTGCTATCCCAATAGAACGTGAACGTTGCTATCCCAATAGAAGTCCACCTTGCTCCTCCTGTAGGTGAACGTTGCTATCCCAATAGAAGCTCACCTTTCTCCTCCTGCAGAGGAATATTGTTGTCTCAACAGAAGCTCACCTTTCTCCTCCTGTAGGTGAACATTGCTATCCCAATAGCAGCTCGACTTTCTCTTCTTGTAGGTGAATGTTGTCCCAATTGAAGCTTGCCTTTCTTCTGTAGGTGAATATTGTTATCCCAAAAGAAGCTCACTCACTTTCTACTCTTCTACGTTAACGTTGCTCTCCTTAAAATGTTTCTCCTCTTGTTTGTGAACGTTGTTATCCCATTTAGAGTTCAAGTTTCCTTTCTTGACTGTGAAGGTTGTTTTCCCCATACGTATTCGCGTTTGTCCTCTTGTATGTGAACGTTGTTAGGTTCATCTTTTCCTCCCGTAGGTGGACTTATTCCTCAGTCAGGGTCCGGACGGATGCTCATTTCATCGTGGTGCTTGTTCTCTGTGATAATGGCGTCCATCTTCAGCGGTAAACTCATAGCAACCCTCGCTGTCCCTAAGACACCAGCTCCCTTCCTCTCCCTGACAGAGATGTTGAACACTGACTGGTACACGTGGGGGATCGTCGGGGGAGAGGCCCATCAGCAGTTTATATCGGTAACCTTCACATCAATATAGGCACTGGGGTAACTTAGTCATCAGAGATACCCGTGAAGGTCCGGGTTAGAATGTACCTTCAGTAACCCATGCTTGTCGTAAGAGGCGACTAACGGGATCGGGTGGTCAGGCTCGCTGGCTTGGTTGACAGATGTCATCGGTTCCCAATTGCGCAGATCGATGCTTATGCTGTTGATCACTGGAATGTCTTGTCCAGACTCGATTATTTACAGACCGCTGCCATATAGTGGGATTATTGCTGAGTGCAGCGTAAAACTAAACTCACTCTTCACTAGTCATCATCAAAGCATATGGTCGACTCGGGTTCAATTCCACTACTTGTGTAATTTGGAAGCATATTTCTGCACACTTCAGTAAGTGGTCACCTTTTGACAGTCCCCAATGTTATACCCAGGTAAAGCCGACAAGGAGACGGGTGGGGTGAACGACCCATGTCTGGATGGGTAGTGAACCCGTGCAGATCCAGGTTAGAATTGATTTTCAGCAACCCATGCTTGTCGTAAGAGGCGACTAACGGCCAGGCTCGCTGACTTGGTTGACACATCATCGTATCCCAATTGCGTAGATCGATGTTCATACTGTTGTTCCCTGGATTGTCTGGTCCAGACTCGATTATTTACAGACCGCCGCCATATAGCTGGAATATTGCTGAGTGCGGCGTTAAACAACAAACCAACTGGTTGATTTGTGAGTTTATATTTTACGTCGCATCCCCATTATTTCAGCTACATAGCGACTCTGTTTGAGTAACCGGTTCACCTGTCTTGACTAACCGGTTCACCTGTTTTGACTAACCGGTTGGCCTTTATGCACGGGAAGTCGGGTTTTAAGCTTGAAGATGGATCAGCAACCAGTGACGACTTCATACTTTATAACGTGAAAATCCAATCCAATAACCACTTGCAGAAAATGTTTCCCATAAGATATCGGGACACATATATACACTCCGTTGTGAAAAATATAACACATGCTTATGTTTCTCAGGAATCAACAGATGATGTTCTCATGAGGTTGTGGCAGGCTATCACCGAGTCCAACAAGACCAGTTCTTCTGTAACAAGCAGTAATGTTTCCAAGCACATGGATCATGTGTTACGGGGCGAATACGCTTTGGTTTATACACGCTATAAACAGGAGACCCCTTGGAGCTGTGACGTGGATTTCCTGGGACAAAAAATAGCCGTCTTCACTGCAAGCCTGGCGATGCCGAAAAACTCGCCGATTGCTCCAGATTTTAATAAGGTGTAAGTAAAATGGCATTCGAGCAAACGTGCAAAAATATGTTTCTTTATCCGTTTTCTGTTGTTTCCTATTTATTTTGCTCTGAGCAGAATCACTTCAATCAGGTACAGCAGACGTTATTAAAAATTCATAAATCGTTTCAACAAAATCAGTTGTCTGGTCCATCACTTGATTGTTTGGTCAATCACTTGATTGTCTGGTCCATCACTTGATTGTCTGGTCCATCACTTGATTGTCTGGTCCATCACTTGATTGTCTGGTCCATCACTTGATTGTCTGGTCCATCACTTGATTGTCTGGTCAATCACTTGATTGTCTGGTCCATCACTTGATTGTCTGGTCCATCACTTGATTGTTTGGTCCATCACTTGATTGTCTGGTCCATCACTTGATTGTCTGGTCCATCACTTGATTGTTAGGCCAAACATCAATTGTTTGTAGGCCGCCGTCGCATGACTAGCACTGGAGTCCGGTAACATACAAGTCTATTTAATGAAAGTTGCAGTGTGAATTTTGAGTAGCGAACACTTTGTGACATCACTAATATAATAATTGTATCTATTCGTACACCGAATTGTATCTTTTACACCGAGTCCGTTTTTGGTGGATGCTTGAAGTTGTTTCTTCTCAGGCGTCGACGTATTATATTACACTGAAATTATTCAAAAAGTGTTTATTTGGTTGGGGGTGGGGGTGGGGATCGCATTTCCATTCCACTTCAGCCATGTATTCTAACAGTACAAACAGATAAAAATTAGGAATTGAGAGGACCGCACAAAACTATGCCCATGGACCCCTCAGTTTACGTTGCAGAGTTGTGTCCCCTTGCCATGCTTGGGCCTACTGGTTCGAATTTGTTTGTTTGGTTGGTTGGTTGGTTGGTTCTTAACACCTCTTTCAGCAATATTCTAATTATATGAAGGCGGTCTCCAAGTCTCCAAGCAACCGAGTTCCGACCAGACAATCAAGCTACTGACACCAGAAGTATCAATCCATGCAATAAGGTAGAATGTCAAACTTCAGCGACGGTGTCCTCCGGCTCCTGTAAATCGCCTCTCACGGCAAACATTGGTTTCTGAAGAACAATTCTAAGCCGGATTTTCAAAGGAATTACACAATCAAATCCTATATTATTAGCACTATGAAATCATATCATGCCCGCAACCAGTGAACGTCTTCGTATATTGCTCCAATACTGTTATAAGAAGGTTTATGCAAATCTGTAACACTCAGTTGTTTTCTGTTCATTGTCAAGATGTATTTCATATAAATTAAATATATACAATATTAAAGGATGAATTGTTATTGAAGTGATGTGACATTTTAACTTAAATCACTTTAAAGGATCGGAAAAACTCACCCCACTCATTCGTTTCAGGTTGATGGCTCTTACAGACCGAGGCATCCTACAGAGGTTAGAGCGTAGATGGTTGTCAGCAAGTAGCACATGTGGCACAACCACATCACGCACTCGAGAAGTGACGGAACAGGACCTTCAGAGCGCGTTCTATACTCTCATAATAGGCATCGTGTCAGCATCTTTCGTTCTGGGCACCGAGGTACTATACGTACGTATTGTCAAGGCGTCCTAGAGCCCATCCATCAAGAAACTCGTACGTCAGTAGGGATTATTCAAATGTCGACACTTGAGGTTTGAATGTGTGTGTGTAAATACATATTTCGATCGATGCGAAAGGTGAGGCTGTTGTTGTTTGTCCATACTGTAATGGTCGTCACAAGTGGGGTTTTTAAATGTCTTTTTTGCCAGGAAGGAACTTTATGATCATCCTTTATACATCGTTTCGTTAAGTTTATCGTTTTATTCAGGTTCTGAAAGCTAATAGTATTACCGAAAGCCGCGTTTCGCGAAGCGATCTTTATACAACAAAGTCCATGTTGCAGACATGATAGCAAGTAGTTCGAGCACTCCTCAGGACAAGAGAAATAACAGACCCCATTATACTGTAGCGTTGTGGATATTAGCGATAGTATACCTATCTCTGACAGGTGAAAAATAACAGGAGACAGTTAAAATCTAGTTGGGCATTCATCCAAATTCAAATAATTACTCCGCGTAATCAAATACTCTTGAAGGTGTCAGAGACGTGAAGTGTATACGCACGGAAAAAGTATCGCAACACCCCATATTTTTCGTAGTATCAATATGTTACCAGTGACAATAGCAAAGGAGCGTATCAAAGCCTCAATTTAACTTACTTTCTGGATAAACTGACGTTCAACAAAATGGCAAATGTAAATGCAAGAAGAATGAAAAACTGAAGAGCTGATAACTATGCGCGGTCATTGTCAAGATTAACAATCAGTAGATTTGTTACGCGCATATACCCATGCTTACAATAAGCATAATAATAATAATAGTAGCTTGAACACGTGTGCTTTTAGATTGGATTTAAAGGTATGAAAGTCACAACAGTCTCTGAGACTCCAGACCATTGATCCTGCATGGACAAAGGACCTGTTTCCATACTGCACTGTCTTTACTTTGGGAACATCAAGCAAGTTCTTATCCAGTGAGCGGAGAGATCGGGAAGGCGTGTACACGTTTAGAAGATTGGATAGAAGGGAAGGCACAAGATATCACAAAAGTATCAATACCCGAGCACCATGCCAACAATCTCCGCCAACTACAATAACGTCCCTGACACTCCTACCCATTAACTGTATCAGATGTTGAATTTGGCTTTGAGGTATTGTGTTCCATTCCTGATGGAGGGCCTGTTCCCATACAGCTAAATATTGTATTGGAGGATCTCTCTGGTGTATTCTGTGAACCAGTAATGTAATGTCCCAAATGTCCCAAATATAGTCTGAGGGAGGATCTCTCTGGTGTATTCTGTGAACCAGTAATGTCCCAAATATAGTCTGAGGGAGGATCTCTCTGGGGTATTCTGTGAACCAGTAATGTCCCAAATAAATAGTCTGAGGGAGGATCTCTGTAGGGTATTCTGTGAACCAGTAATGTCCCAAAATATAGTCTGAGGGAGGATCTCTCTGGACTTGTATTCTGTGAACCAGTAATGTCCCAAATATAGTCTGAGGGAGGATCTCTCTGTATTCTGTGAACCAGTAATGTCCCAAATATAGTCTGAGGGGAGGGTCTCTCTGGTGTATTCTGTGAACCCATAATGTCCCAAATATAGTCTGAGGGAGGGTCTCTCTGGTGTATTCTGTGAACCCATAATGTCCCAAATATAGTCTGAGGGAGGGGTCTCTCTGGTGTATTCTGTGAACCCATAATGTCCCAAATATAGTCTGAGGGAGGATCTCTCTGGTGTATTCTGTGAACCAGTAATGTCCCAAATATAGTCTGAGGGAGGATCTCTCTGGTGTATTCTGTGAACCAGTAATGTCCCAAATATAGTCTGAGGGAGGAGGGAGGATGTCTAGTCTGGAGTATTCTGTGAACCCATAATGTCCCAAATATAGTCTGAGGGAGGGGTCTCTCTGGTGTATTCTGTGAACCCATAATGTCCCAAATATAGTCTGAGGGAGGGGTCTCTCTGGTGTATTCTGTGAACCCATAATGTCCCAAATATAGTCTGAGGGAGGATCTCTCTGGTGTATTCTGTGAACCAGTAATGTCCCAAATATAGTCTGAGGAGGAGGATTCTCTCTCTGAGGGAGGATCTCTCTGGTGTATTCTGTGAACCAGTAATGTCCCAAATATAGTCTGAGGGAGGATCTCTCTGGGGTATTCTGTGAACCAGTAATGTCCCAAAATATAGTCTGAGGGTCTGAGGGACTGCGATCTGAACTCATCGCGGGCCAAGGTTGAGTTCAGAAAACATCAACGGTCTAGCGTTGTCGTCCATAAAGAGCGGTACTGTGTGCAGAGGATAGTCATCGGAAGGTGGTACAACAACTCTGTCTAGGATGTCAGTGATGTACCAGTGTCCATGTCAGAGATTTTATGTGATCGTCAGACATGTAAGAGGTACCCCCACACCATCAATGAACAGTACTTGCTCCAAGACATTACGTTGTGCATATGATGTGTTACTGCGTCATGACCAAAACAAATTGTCTTTCGTCCGACAAGTGGACCCTTCAGCTTGACGTCAAATACGAGTGACGTCCTGCTTGACACCAAGGTCGTCGTACTTCTTTGTGCTCTTGGGATAACATAGGACGTCTGATAGGTCATCTGGCTCTATCGATTTGGGACCGTTTAGTTTGACAAACGACGATGTGGAAGCCACTGTTTTTAACACTTCACGAAAACGGGTGAAGTCTTGTCATTCTGAGAAGGGCTGTATCCTCCTGAGGAGTGGTCGATCTGAACACTAACAGTGCTTAACGTGATGTTTACTAGCCAGTCGGCTGATAGTCGACAGATGACAACCAACATCTCTTGCAATAGCCCTCAAAGCCTCGCCAGCTTTCTGCATACCAATAACTTGCCATCTTTGAGCAGCTGTCAGTTAAGAAGGCCCCACATTTGCTTATCAACAACGAAATCAATTGATTTTCCAAGTTATCGAGCTGTAGGAACAGTTCACTGAAACATGATGTTTGCTGATGTATGCGTAATGACGGGTACATGTATAGCACGTGATACTTGCCTTTAATCGTAGCACGCGCATATCTAAACTCAATGAACTGTGCAGACGAAGGTCAAAATATTCACACAAGCAAACATAATCATGATATGTATGTAAATGGTTATTAAGGTTTCTGGCTGTAAAAAATATTATTTCCCACAGAGAAAGATCATTGATCGTTTCATAGAGCATGCCATCCAGCTAATATAATCGACAAGGTGCTCACGCCATTAGACGTCATATTTGTTGCAGTCATAGTCAAACAGAAACGGCACTACCGCTCTGTGTATGATCAACTGCCCTTGACAAGAAAAGGTCATGGTTATTAACTTTGTATGCAAACATGCTGCTAGTGTTTCTCTTATGGACATAAGTCAGCATCGGTATTTGCGATATTTGTGGCGGGTTTCTGGCATCTGAAGTTTGTGTTTCGATAGTGCAAGAGTGAGTATGGTTTAACGCCGCTTTTAGCAATGTCCCAGCAATATCACGGCGGGTGACGCCAGAAATGGGTTCCACACATTGTACCCATGTGGGAAATCGAACCCGGGTCATCGGCGTGACGAGCGAACGCTTTAACCACTAGGCTACCCCATCGCCCCTGATGGGAGGGAAAGTGCAAGAGGAAAGCACTCGGACACATCAGTTCAGCAGACCCTAAAGTGGGATTGTTACTTTAGATCACCATTTAGTGCCTTAGACTAATCGCCGGTAGGTATTACATTTGACATCTTTCAAAAGAAATGCTGCGTCCTCGTGCTTTAATATGATAGGTCAGGGAAAAAACATACTTTGTACACTATACATGGGGGTAGATCGAACTATATTTCTTAAACACAATGCATATGTGACGCCATTGTACCAGGGGTGCTCATTTGTTTTTAAATGAAGATATGTTGCCAGAGTGAACAGAAATGAAGAAGTGCATGATGTAACATGACGGACACCCGTTAATCTATAGGGCCTGTAAGTCTCGCGAGGCGCTACTTCCGGTACAAATTGCGCGACCGCCAAATATAACTTTACTAGACCGGTCCAAGTGTACAACCATGCTTGGCTGTCACAGCTGTTGACAGTCGTAATAGTTAGCTAACTTGGGGATGGTTAGATCGGACATTTCTTATTCCTGCAAGGATTATCAACTCAACTCAACAGACCATTCGAAAAGGTATGAAACGTTGTTTGTCACCGGAAGTACCAAGGTCTCGCGAAGTGCCGTGACCTACTTACGAGTCCCAAACGCAAAAGATTTCGGTGTGAAACCAACACACAATACAGAAATATTATACGATTAGCAACTGTATTATAAACTCAACTAAGTTGACAATACGAACTACTACAGGCTAATTACCATGACAGCACAAAATGGCAGTATATACTATAATAGCAGTAGTAATGGCAGTATATACTATAATAGCAGTAGTAATGGCAGTATATACTATAATAGCAGTAGTAATGGCAGTATATACTATAATAGCATATAGTAATAGCAGCAGTAATAGTATATACTATAATAGCAGTAGTAATGGCAGTATATACTATAATAGCAGTAGTAATGGCAGTATATACTATAATAGCAGTAGTAATGGCAGTATATACTATAATAGCAGTAGTAATGGCAGTATATACTATAATAGCAGTAGTAATGGCAATAACAGTAATGATATTCACCTAGATGCAGCAGTGATAAAGCTTCCAAAGTAGACCTAACAAGGCTGGATGTCAGGATGAAATATGATCTTCACACAACGATGATCTTGCTGTAGTCTGAGATAACAGAGGTATGACATTCCCTCTTATACAGTCAAAATACCTTTAGAATTGTACATACCACTTTTCGAGAAAATTCATGTTTACACTTGACTGAAAACATTGCACCAAAATATTGTAACCGCCATACATCTGCTTACCATTAGAAATAGTACATTCCTGACAAACAGTTAGTGTTACAAAACAATGTCAGGAACGTCTACTGAAACGGTGGAATGCCATTACAAGACTTTGCCATAATTATAATTAGTGAATCAGTAACATAATTAAGGATAACAGTGAGTACCAATGTACAAATGCATCGCTTTATTTTTCGAATTGGTAAGACAGCATAGTGCGATGCAAGAGTTCAAAGATGAGGATGCAGCTGCTGGCTCCGAATCCCGCCAGCAGCAGGTAGAAGGCACTATGCATGTCCTCCAGCGTCACCACGGTAGCCGACGACTTTCCATCCAGGCATGTCGTGCTGGAGATGATCCACTTCTTGGCCAGACGATTGAGGAATCCTGTCTCGGATAAGTGGATCATTCTACAAAGTATTCGTAAATACCGAGCATTTTAAACATGGAATTAGTAATGATACGTGTTATTGTGCCCGCATGATAGATAAAGGATCTCAAAGGTTAATCCAGCTAATGACTCAAATGACTCAGTATACAGGACAGACATTATTTGGTTGTTGCCTGCAGAGCAAAGACGACATGTGGTCAAGGATTTAGCTTCATAAAGATCTCAATTCCGCTTTCAACATCGCATGACGGCATACCGGTAATGACGTCATGAGTCCCCAGACACCGTGTAGGCCGTAGTCACGTCAAAATTATATATATTGTTAGGAACCTACCTGTCATGTGACTTTATTTAATCTATTACTTTTCACAGTGTCTGAAAACAATTAACATTTCAGTTCCGAATTCCGATATTTTTCGACAGATTTAATACTATTAACTCGTGCCGTCATGTTACTGAATAAACAAATCTAAGACACAAGATTCTGCAATCACACTAAACTTAACTGGCAATTTCTTTGCACTCAGGTTACAGAACAATGCAACTGTACGTACTCTCTGTCAAAGTCGTCCTTGAGAGGCGAGTGTTTGGGCAAGGCCATCCCCTTGCTGTATTCAAACAACTTCTCCCGCAGGTAGGACACTTCACAGTCCGATCCGTTCCCCAGCTTGTCATGACCCATGATGTAGGCGTACGGCTCGTTCAGGACTTTCTCAATGTGGTCGGTCACGCTGCGGCTGAACACTGACGGGTCGGTCTTGTTGAACATAACCATCTTCTTCCAAAGTTCCTGGATGTCGGAATCCTTCGATATCTGGGAACACGTACGTGAGTGAGTGGATGAGTGAGTGAGTGATTGAGTGTTCGGGCGTGAGTGAAATTTCGAGCGTAAGTCACATCGACAATATTTAAGCCTTATCGTGACGCAACGTTATATATTAATAATAAATATATTTAAATCGCCAGCAACGAATTACACGAGAAATATAATTGAAATCTACAGTGCAGCAACAGAAGAAAAGCGCCATGTTTAAATGCAATTATGTTATATATTAATAATAAATATATTTAAATCGCCAGCAACGAATCATAGACCTGCAATTATAATAATCATAGTTGGAGTCGCTCAGATTACATATTGTAATAACTTTAAGTTATATTGTAAGTCACTCGTGTCTCAAACTAAATGTGCGTTAGTTGTTCGTAAACGTTGTTTTATTTGATTGTTGTTCAACACCACAATAAGCAGTATTCTAATATTGGCAACAGTCTGTAAATAATCGATCTTGACCAGACAATATAGTGATCAACAGCAATTGGTATACGATGACTCGTCTCAACCAAGTCAGCGAGCCTGACCACCTGATTCCGTTAGTCGCATCTTATGACAAGCATGGGTTGCTGAAGACCACTTCTAACCCGGATGTTCACGAGTCTAGTAGTGTGTAAAGCATACCGAAAGTAAAGAGTAGGTGGAACTTTTCCCGACCACGCCCCATGTGTAATCTGGGTTCTCCAGAAGCTCCTTGGTGGAAGTGAACGGCTTGTTTACCCTGGGAACAGCTAGGTTGGCGATCAGCTTGGCGCTGTAGGTGGCCGACATCACAATAGAGAAGACCCACCACGAGGCAACCAGAAATCGCCCGGATGCTGAGACAGGCAGGTGCTCTCCTCCTGCCGACAGCGAAAAGAAAATCAGAAGCGAGTAAATCCTCTGGGTTGAACGAAATTTGAACCGTATTTCAGTTTTTCATGGAGTTTCAGCTGAAGACAGGAAACGCAGTGTTATACATATCTGTGGATTTTAACACTTCAGTGACAAAAACGTGCAGAGATAGTGTGCTGTGTGAACACAGGATTATCATCAATTGGAATGGGTTACATCAGATTCACGGATGGTGCCAGGCGGTGTTGTTTCAGGTCAACGTGCCAGAAACTCTAGTCTGGACTCCTGCTTAGGGGATCATCATGTCATGGGACCTCAACCGAGTGGTAACATCACTTTACATGTTATAACAATACTGAATATGTGATCAATAATGCCTTTTAGGCCCAAAAGAAACTATCTCGGCAGACACTATTCTCCAGCGTTCCGCATGTATGTATACATGGTGCGGTGGGGTAGCCAAGTGGTTAGAGTGTTCGCTCGTCATGCAAAAAACAGGGTGGGTAATATGTTGCGTAAAACCATTCCCACTGCAATCACCTGCATACATATTATTACATAAAGTACATGCATAAAGTGTGTGTATACCTTGACTGAAGAGCGCCCCGTATATATAGCAACTGACATTGGCAATGTTGAGACAAGTCCTCTTCTCCCGGCGTTCCCTGGGGCCGAACTGCAGCAGGAGATACAGAGATGTGTACACCAACAGAGCCACTCCGATACACAGCAGCACAGAGGGTCGGAAGATGTCCAATAACAGGCGCCAGCTCTTTGTGGTGTTCAACTTCCGGTACATGATATCCTTGTAGTCCCTGAAGAACGGGGTCTCCACGAAGTCTACCACGGCGTCCCGAGCAGAGTTCCGGCTAAGAGACGCCATTGCAAAGTCGACTTCCTGTATTTGAATATATAATGTAGTCAGTGTTCATTATATGTCTGATAGTTGTTATTTCAAATAGTTGGGATGGAGTTTTTCAAATGTTGTAACAGTACATTATATTCACTTTTAGAGATAATTCAAAACATTTCATATATAACAAACATAATTTACGTTATAATTACTTTCCAGGTAATTATTTCATATTCCATTTTCAGTTTCAATACAAATACAATACCGGGTTGTTTGTCTTAAACGTAGATGCCTCCTATATTGTACCCAATAGTTCTTTTGATAAATACGTTTCTTATTAATAAAAAGCAAATATACCTGCCTTATCATGTTAATTTTGGGGCGTTCTTTTTGGAACATGAGCTGTATTTGTGAGAAAATACCCAACTTAACAACAAAAGTAGTTGTGGGTTGAAACGCTGTCCCCAAGAAAAGTACAGATTATAAAGGTAACTGTGTTTCGGTGAATGGATTAGCCGTTGTATAACTGGGGTGAGTGAGTTTTTACGCCCCTATACCAGTATTCCAGATACATCAGGGCTTCTCAGTGTCAGATGTTGTCAGTTTGGTGGAACCCACGAGCACGGGTATGGTGCTGACAACCTTAGAAACATTACCGGGACCTGGATTCGAACCCACAATCATACGTTTCTGGCGTATCAAAGGCACAATGAGATGCAGCGAGTTTAGACGACTGAGCGTTTAGGGATTATGCTAAACTCAAGATTTTAAGTGTTAAATATAGTGAACTGCCATGTGTAGGCCTTTAAATTCATAAAACAATTTTAATTGATATCAATATAAATCAGAAATCGCAGTGACATATGGACTGTCAGCATGTATAATTTTGCGAAATTAACAATGTTAGGTTTTAGTGGGCTAACTGACGATGTTTCTACTACAAACCGCACTTCTGTAACGCCAGAGTGAGTGGAGCGGCGCGGTGGTTAAATTGTTCATTAGGCCGAAGACCTGGGTTCAAATCTCCACATGTGTACAATATCCCTAGATATTGTTTCTGTGCTCCACCATGTCTAATTAATTGATAATATTCCATAAAATCAAACGAAAGCGTTATGCCTCACATAAAATGCCTTACCCTTCGTTGGAGTTGTCCAACAATACCACTCCATCCTTTCACGTCCTTAGAACCCCATTCGTTGTCGCCTGGCTCTATCAGAGCATACCTAGTGAAAAGAACAACAGCCGATAATTTATATTCAGTGTTCTTGTTTTAGTGTTAATGTCAGTGTGTTGGTCGTACGACATCAAATTTTCATTAATCAGCTACATGTACCATATTGGGACTCGGGATAGAGTGCCTTAGTTTTCATAAACGTTGTCATTGTCAAGATATACTAGAATATTTACTTTGTTTCGTTGTCTTCTTATTTTCATTTCTAAACAGGGATTGACATGATTTTACCGGAATACTGTTTGTTTGTTTGTACATTTGTTTGTACGTTTGTTGTTCCGGCCGTAAGAATAACATTCGAGTCTGGACCGGGCAATCCAGTGATTAACAACATGAGCATCGATCCGCGCATTTGGGATACGATGACATGTGACAACCCGATCCTGTTATTCGCCTGTTACGACAAGCATGGTTGCTGAAGACCATTTCTAACCCGTATCGTCACGGGTCTACCTGAATATTTAGGTGGCGGTGCTACAAAGCATTCACTCACAAATTCACTAGCTATTAGAGTTGTTTCCTTTTGTGCGTACGATATCAAAAGTAATGATAAATCAGGCATATTCTCGTCTAAACATTTATACTTACGTAAAGTTGAGAAGATTCGCCAGTTCATTGAGAACTTCGATGCAGAAACCGTCATAGGTTGGTTCATTGCCGTCAGTATGTTTCCGAAGGAAGCCAAGCCACTACGAACAAATACTCGCATTGTAAATATGACACATTGGCGTATTCTTTAGATCATCCTCGATTATTAAGGGTATCATATATCAATCATCATAAATACCCTGGACTCATTCGTTGTCTCATTCGGTGCCAAGAACGGTCATCCAATTAAATTACACACATGAGCGAAAAGAATTCATATGCAAATACAGAGAAAGCACAGATGAAGAAGGTGATGTCACTTCCGGAAATAACTCAGGAATTCCTTTGTATTAATATAACATTGTTAATTATCGAGATTTATAAAAAAATTGGTTGGTTGGACTTTTATGTTTTAATGAAATTGGATGCTAAGTGCTCACTACTCAAAACTATTATTGATCTCTGATCTCTGATGTCGATCAGTACAGCTGAATGTTCCTTGTTTATGTAACAGAGATTTCTTATAATGTTATCAGCTATATCTCGGACGAAGTTACAGGGTTTTGCCTCCAGCTACATTCCGTAGTTACACTCTTTTGAGTGGCATTTGGAAGCTGGAGTGATGAGCAACGGGGATAGTTCTATGGATATTGGACTTCTTTATTATTATTGTTATTCGGTGTAGCTGCTAACACCGTTATCAAGCAAATGATGCAAGTACAACTATCCCCGTTGTACACTGTAGTACACTGCCAATATTAACAGACAAAAACGGTCAACAATCATTCTCTGTGATTAGTCAACGACTTTCTGACATTTCATGTCAAATGACACCAAAATATATACATGAAACACCTGGTTGTAGATTCGTATGGTTGAATCGTCTAACGATGCCACGCCAAACACTGGTGTTCAAAGGAGATAAATAAATCATGCAATTCCCTGTTGACAGAATCAAATATTTGAATAGCGGGAACAATTGAAAAGCAAGTTGCAATTTTACGAATCCGTAACGATGGAAACAAGCAGAGATTTTGTGGAATCATGACGATTCCTCACTTTCCGGGTGTATTTGAACTGGCGCCGTAAATATATAACTCATTGGCGTATAGTGACAAAAACAGTACCGTATTTACCCAGTTCAGGTGCATTTCGATTTCTCTAACATATACTCATGCCAATAATGGTTGTCAATCCCTCCCCACCCCCAACCTCACACTCCACACCCCTCTCCAATTAAAAAAATTGAAGGGGATGACAACCATTATTGGCATGAGTATATATTTGATGACATTTGTGTTACAGACGAGGGTTGAAACGCTGTCCCCATTTGTTATTGATTAAGAACACGTTTTCTAAGATGCTTCGCTAAAAGATCAAAGGCGCCGACAGTACTTTATCAAGTACATTTTTTGCATGATGTCACACTGTATTGACGTCACTACGCCATTTTCGTCTGCCCCCTCGTTATGAAACGTACCCTTGGTAACCGACGTCGCTGTGCATGTCAGTTGTCATCGCCTAGTACAGTCTCCTACGGTAAACTACTCCGTAGCACCCTGTTTTGGTTTGCAATTGCTTCACTCGGCTAACATCACTGGTGAAAACATAACGTTGATGTTTTTCGACGGATATAATGTCTCAGTTCGACTCACAATTAAACAGCGACACGGCAACGTTCGCAAGGTTTACATTCCCACAATGCATCCGTGGAATGTCGTGTGACTAGTCAGCTTCATCTTACGTTGGAAGTAGAAATGCGACATTCTATTGCCCCATATGGTTTACGTTAATCGCAGATGTAATTAAAATAATTTAACCCGAGCGTAAACCGTCATTTGTTTTATTCTGGTAACGTGCGTCTTAACGTAAGGGGGCAGGCACGTCAACAGAACAGCGCGTCAGTTAGCCCTGAGCGAGGATTATTAATTGAGGTCACCGACACCGTCGTTTTTCTGTTTGTTTTCTGCCCTAGATTAATCGTCGGTAAGTATTAAATTTGGCATCTTAGAAAGGGAATACAGTTCGCTCTTCCCCCATGTATAGTGTAATTTCTTAAATACAGGCATATGTGTTTCCTATTATTTGACTGGATAAGCCGACACATGACGTCATATAACTGGGGTGAGTGAGTTAGTTATGCGCCCTATCAACAGTATTCAAGATATATCACGGTTTCTCAGTATGAGACGCTGTCAAGTTGGTGAAACCAATGAGGTATGGTGCTGACAAACTTAGAAACATAACCGGGTCGATCAATATAAATCAGAAATAGAAGTGACCTATGGACTGTCAGCATGTATCAACACTATAACAGTCAAACTATTCGAATTCCTTCTAGAAAGAATTGTACTGACAAAAAGAGACTATAGAGCTAAAATCAAAACACATCCATACTGAAACTAAATAGCTTATGTCGTGATTCACACAACGGATGTCTGCGTGTCTGTGGGTAGTACGATACGCAAACACTTGGGGTGTTTGTAATGTGAACAGAAACCCGGTTTGTTCAGCTTTCAGGTGCTCATAAACGCCTGTATTTCCCGTAAATAAAGTATGCCATGGCATATGCGGCTTAAAGTATGCTACAAACAGGAATGTCTCAAAAACAAACAAATTACTAAATATTTTAAAGTTCATCAAAACATAATTTCATGTCTACAGAAATACTATTTACAGCAGATCCGACACTCATAACTTGTCACGGCCCGGTCGTGCATTTATGACGTCAACAAGACAACCATATTCGATCGGTGCATCTACGGAATTGATACCATCGGACAACATATCGGACAATTCTTGGAATGAAACCACATTAGTGGCACACTACAAGCAACGGCTTATGTTGCTCCCCTCTCCTATGAACATGCATGGGTGCTGTCAATTATTTCTTTTGTGCCGAAACATTAATCAGCTGAAAGATTAGACAATACATATATGTTGTCAATACCATATCATTCCCATCACATAGAATGAAGCGTTCCTACTATCTCTAAGTATATTTACTTTTTGCTCAAAACCTGGGCTCCCTAGATCCCCAGCTACTCGTACTAATGTATGTTGTAAACATTCCCATTCGTCAGAGTATATATACATAAAGTGTGCGTCTACTAAGTTTGAAAAAGGCACTGTAGTTTCGGTTCTCAGTGCCAATACCTCATTGCCGACACGCGATGGATGCTGTATTTGACTAGCTTAACCAAATTGTCTCCCTTTATCGACAAGCCTCTCTTCACATACAAGACTGTTGTTTAAACCAGGTTTCATGATGACATAAAGGATTCCATCTGTGCTTGATAACAGAACAATATCGATTTTGTCTTCGATGAAAAATCAAAGGAACGTATATAGATTGGGTGTCTTGGGAAATGGAAACCACTTTCATGGAGAACTCACGTTGTTTATAAGAGAACTTGAGTTCAGATGCTTGGAACAGTATTCCAGCCATAGCAAGGAAACCGACTTCATGAAACCGAAAGTGAGCAACGGTACTGACAGAGCAAGGATCGCAATCCGGGTCGACTTGGATGTGTGAGTGAATAAGTTGGTTTAATGTTGTTTTGAACAGTATCCCCGACATAGAACGGAATATGAACTTGAGGAAAACGAAAGTCCACTTTTCATAATCCGGTCGAGTTGCATTAACAGTGATCTTTTAACAGTATCAGTCGTATTACTTGTAATCTTGATGTTGAAGGAAAGCCGCGCGTTGTGCAGGAAAAGACAAAGTATGCTTCAAGCACACTACAACTGTTTGTTATTGAATACATGTACACATAATGGAATATTTGAGCTAAGTTGAGATTTTACGTCGCATCGGCATTATCTTACCCATTTTGCGACACTGTAATAATTGATATTGTTACAGTCATACTACGGCTGAAGTATTGCAGACATGACTATAAATCGTAACCCACTAACTACAACAATTGTATCACTCTGCCATTCTTACGGCTTTTGTGGTGACAACAAACTGGCGCTGGTTGTAGCCATACATGACGTTCGGGAAAACGGTGCCCTTGACAACATGGCTGGTCTTGGGGTCAAGGTAACACACGGTGCTCCACACACGCCCCTCGGGTCTCCTCAGCAGGGTCGATAACTCCAGGCAGGCTCTTCCTCCAGTGGACTGCATGGAAACACGTCAGATTGCATGGCTATATTTATCAAAAGAATACACGAAAAGTCATCTGTTTAACATTTACTACAGAAAACATGTTTTGAACCGCTGAGCAGGATTGAAAAAAATTATTTGGTGTCTGTATTAACTGATAACTAGCTTTTTTTCTAAAAGGCTATTACAGCGAAGTTTAGGTATGGTCCTAGCATAAGCAAAGTTGCTAATATGTACACTGAAATGTTTATAACATGTAAACGCATTAAAGACAACATCAACGTGATTCTTGTTTCTGCTATATTGTAGCTACAATCATCGGGTGTGATGGTTTGTGATTCCGTCAAGGTGTGTAATGGTACTACTTCAGTAAACACAGACAGCGACAAGAAAATGCCTTCAGTGCGTGAGTTAGGTTGTTTTGAACGACGACACGGTGTCTCAGCCTAATGTGAGAGGAGTGAGTGAGTTTAGTTTTGCGCCACGTTTAGCAATATTCCAGCAATATCACGGCGGGGGACACCACAAATGGGCTTCACACATTGTACCCATGTGGGGAATCGAACCCGGTTCATCGGCGTGACGAACGACCGCTTTAAACACGAGGCTACCCCACCGCCCCTGATGTGAGAGGAAGTCTAAAGTGGTGCAGGTCTTATGGTGTAAGAAACAATCACGGCAAATATGATTTGAGTGATTATTTGAGTGATAACAGTATCCTGGCACGCCAAAGGGACGCAATCCTGTAGCGTTTTCGACAAAGCCGTGCCCCAATGTTGCCCCACCCAAACGCACACACATATATTCTGATACTCAGGTATGGTGCACCTACCTCTGACGAGTGGTTAGCCTCAACACCGACGTCCGCGTCCTCACTACATTTGGGATCCGACAAGACTGCGACGTTGTCAAGAGCCTCGCCCAAATTCAGCAGACGCTCTTTTGTGTCACGTGACCCCACCACGAGCCATCGTGAATGATGTCGCATGTAGGTGTAGCGGTCGGTGTAAAAGTCGAGAACATTTGCCTTCAGAAAAGAAATTATCAAATGCATAACCGCCATGCTGGACAAATTTAACACGTCCTAACATACAATGGCGGTACAATAGTAGAATCACTCTTGCAATAATCTGTGCTACCATGTCTAAACTATTGTTTAAGAAATACAGTTCACTCTACCACCATGAATAGTGTCATAAAGCACACCTTCGCCCTGAACTATTATAACGTTAAAGCAAGCGTCCTCGTACTTTAACTATACTGAGTCAAAAAAGAAACTTCACATTCTTTCTTCAGGGCACTATAAAAGAACAAGAGATGGTAAGATGGTTAAATTGTTATTATTTCATTGCTGAGATCTGTGTAATGTACTCGATACACTGACAGTGGCGAATGGATGGGTTTGAGTGGGTTTTGCTAACGTTTTTCTAGAGTCGAAAGATAGGGATCCCATTTCGGATACATAGATGTATCATCAGAGAAAAAATATTCATTATTTTTCAAATTACATTTCGTGAAGTTTCTTTTTTGACTCAGTATATAATAATTCAGGGCGAAAGTGTGCTTTATTACACTATACATGGTGGTAGAGCGAACTGTATTTCTTTTCTAAGATGCCAAATTTAATACATTCTAAGGATAATTACTATTAATCTAAGGCAGAAAACAAGCGACGGTGTCGGTGACCAAAATTAAGAATCCTCGCACAGGGCTAACTGGCGCGCTGTTCGGATTAAATATCTCCTCTAAGCTGAGTAGTCAAGCGACATTCCACGATTGCATTGTGGGAATGTAAACATTGCGAAGGTTACCGTGTCGCTGAAAACCTGTGAGTCGAATTGAGACATTTTAACCGTCGGAAAACATAAACGTAATGAATCCACCAGTGATGTTAGCTGTGTGAAGCAACTGCAAACCAAGAAACGGGATGCAACGGAGTAGTTTACTGTAGGAGGCTGTACGAGACGATGACAACTGACATGCATCGTGACGTCGTTTACATTGTGACGTAAAGCAAAATTGTTCGATTACGAGGGGGGCAGACTAGAATGGCGGAGTGACGCCAATACATTGTGACGTAATGCAAAAAGTGCACATTATCGTCTGATAAAGTACTGTCGGCGCCTTTTATCTTTCACCGAAGCATCTTAGAAATTACTATAATGTTGTATTACTTCCATTTTGATGGCAAACGTGTCTCAGAGACCGAGAAGGATCTAACGCTGCTTTGAACAGTTTGGCTCGAGTAACATCAGGGCGAGACAGTTGTTTGGGAGGAAAAGGTCATGGAGGTCTCGGATATTTACCATTTTGGCATGGTGCTGCCAATCCTGGAAACATAACCGGAGCGAATCAGGATTCACTGAAAACAACACAGCGAATTGTGGCACCTCAAACGATTGGGCCACACGTGAACCGCTGATTGAGTGAGTGAGTAAGGTTATACCAATATTTTAGCAATATTGCAGCAATATCACGGCGGGAGGCACCAGAAATGGGTTTCACATATACTACCCATGTGGGGAATCGAACCCGGGTCTCCAGCGTGACGAGCGGTCGCTTTAACCATAAGGCTACCCCACCTCCCCTGCTGATTGAGAGTGCATGTGCGAGGTTGGAATCCGAGAGAGAGGTTGGCTTCCTTACCTCGTGAATGACAGCATCGATGCACTCCTCGCTACAAAAGAGCACAAAGTCGTGCGGAGACGTCTCAGCCAGATAAAACTGCTTCAGCTGTGATCTCAAGTCACGTGACCTGAGTGACGTAACGTTGACGATATTATAGGACCTGGCGACGTTGAACGTCATTCCCGACTGCGTTGTGTCATGCAACAACCCGGCTACAACATATATTGAAAACATAGATGTTTAAACAGCGCACTGTAGTAACGGCCAGGGCATGACTGTAGCAGTTACTCAGGGATGACTGTAGCAGTTACTGAGTATGACTGTAGCAGTTTCTTTGCATGACTGTAGCAATTACTTTGACTTGACTGTAGCAGTTACTTTGCATGACTGTAGCAATTACTGAGGTATGACTATAGCAATTACTAGGCATGACTGAAGCATTTATTTTGACTTGACTGTAGCAATATCTTTGGCATAACTGTAGCAATTACTCGGGTTTGCTGTATCAATTACTGTGAATGCCTTTACCAACTTCTTTGGTATGACTGTAGCAATCACTTTGACATCACTGTATCAATTACTGTGCATGCCTTTAGCAATTACTTTAGCCTGACTGTAGCAGTTACTGGGGTATGACTGTAGCAATTACTTTGATATGACTGTAGCAGTTACTTTGCATGACTATAGCAGTTACTTTCCATGAATGTAGCAATTACTTTGCATGACAGTAATAATTACCTTGAATGATTGTAGCTCTTACTTTGCATGACTGTAGCAATTACTGAGGTATGACTGTAGCAATTACTGGAGTATGACTGTAGCAATTACTTTGCATGACTGTAGCAATTACTGGGGTATGACTAGCAATAACTTTGCATGACTGTAGCAATTACTGAGGTATGAATAACTTTGGTATGACTGTAGCAATTACTTTGGCCTGACGGTATCAATTTCTTTGGCATGAATGTAGCAATAACTTTGCATGACAGTAATAATTACTTTGCATGACTGTAGCAATTACTTTACCCTGACTGTAGCAATTACTGAGGTATGACTGTAGCGGTTATTTTGCATGACTGTAGCAATTACTGAGATATGAATGTAGCAATTACTTCGACCTGACTGTAGCAAATACTTTGCATGATCGTAGCAGTTACTTGGCATGACTGTAGCAGTTATTGGGGTATGACTGTAGCAGTTACTTGGCATGACTGAAGCAGTTATTGGGGTATAACTGTAGGAGTTACTTTGACATGACTGTAGCAATTACTTTGCATGGCTTTAGCAATTACTTTGCATATTTGTAGCAATTACTGAGGTATGACTGTAGCAATTACTTTGCCTGATTGTAGCAGTTACTTTGACATGACTGTAGCAATTACTGAGGTATGACTGTAGCAGTTACTTTGCATGACTCTAGCAATTACTTTGCATGACTCTAGCAATTACTTTGCATGACTCTAGCAATTACTTTGCATGACTGTAGTAATTACTTTGCATGACTGTAGCAATTACTGAGGTATGACTTTAGCAATTACTCTGAAATGACTGTAGCAATTACTTTGCGTGACTGTAGCAATTACTGAGGTATGACTGTAGCAATTGCTTTGCATGACTGTAGCAATTACTGAGGTATGACTGTAGTAATTACATTGCATGACCGTAGCAGTTACTGAGGTATGACTGTAGCACTTACTTTGCATGACTGTAGCAGTTACTGAGGTATGACTGTAGCAATCACTCTGACATGACTGTAGCAATTACTTTGCATGACTGTAGCAATTACTGAGGTATGGCTGTAGCAATTACTTTGCATGACCGTAGCAGTTACTGAGGTATGACTGTAGCAGTTACTGAGGTATGACTGTAGCACTTACTTTGCATGACTGTAGCAGTTACTGAGGTATGACTGTAGCAATTACTCTGACATGACTGTAGCAATTACTTTGCATGATTGTAACAATTACTGAGGTATGGCTGTAGCAATTACTTTGCATGACTGTAGCAGTGACTTTGCCTGACTATAGTAGTTACTGTGGTATGACTGTAGCAGTTACTTTGGCCTGACTGTAGCAATTACTGAAGTATGACTGTAGCAATTACTGGGGTATGACTGTAACAATTACTTTGCATGACTGTAGCAATTACTGGGGTATGACTGTAGCAATTACTTTGACATGACTGTAGCAGTTACTGAGGTATGGCTGTAGCAATTACTTTGGCCCGACTGTAGCAATTACTGAGGTATGTCTGTAGCAATTACTTTGCATGACTGTAGCAAGTACTGAGATATGACTGTAGCAATTTCTTCGACATGACTGTAGCAATTACTTTGCATGACTGTAGCAGTTACTTTGGCCCGACTGTAGCAATTACTGAGGTATGTCTGTAGCAATTACTTTGCATGACTGTAGCAAGTACTGAGATATGACTGTAGCAATTTCTTCGACATGACTGTAGCAATTACTTTGCATGACTGTAGCAATTACTGGGGTATGACTGTAGCACTTACTTTGCATGACTGTAGCAAGTACTGAGATATGACTGTAGCAATTACTTCGACATGACTATAGCAGTTACTGAGGTATGACTGTAGCATTTACTTTGGCATGACGGTAGAAAATACTTTCGACATGACTGAACATAATACTTTGGCTTGAATGTAATAATTACTTTGCCATTACTGCAACAATTGCTTAGCCGTGACTGTAGCAATAACATCCACCTTAAAATACCACTGGTACACATCGAACCATTCCCGAAAAGTAATGGAGCGAGCAGACAGTGGAATGACGTCCCAAATGTAATTTAACCCTGGTGATCACATGCAGTTTCACGTTCTTATCACTTTGCGTTTCGTGCTTGCCTTCAAGAGGTATTTCACCATTATCACTTGCCTGTCGATTGATCATAAATCAATGTGCAGCGTTTCCATTGTAAATAGTCCAAGATTCTCCCTAGGGCTACAGCTATCACGCCCCGCGGCGTGGGATGGGTGTGGTCAATGGATTGACAATATCCATTCATCCAGTAACCTGGAAACCAGGCGGTATGATTGCATTTCAGTCCGTGGACGTCCTTAATGAAGAAATCTGGAAGGTAAAGTGTTTTGTGAGATTTATGTGAATAAAAGGAATGGATTTTAACGATGACTTGCAATTTGTCGTCGCCATAGCATATCGAATTATCATATTTCAAATGAGGATATAGTAGCTCACCTGATTATGTAGTCAACAGATTGAAGAGGCAATTTGTCGTGTCCGTAGGAAATCGAATTATCAATGACATATAAAATCAATACATTGTAGCTCACCTGATTATGCAGTCAACAATTTGAAGTGGCAATTTGTCGTCGAGGTAGGATATCGAACAAGTATTTTTCCAACAAATAAAAAAAATTGTAGCTCATTGTAGCTCAGCTGAATATGTACGCAATGCTGTTCGAATATGTCCTGTTGGTTCTGATGACTAACACTTAATTCCACAAATGTGCATCAAATGACATTATCAGAAAATGAAACGTACAAGCCATACGTCATCCCACCCATTTTCAGAAGAGGAGGTGTTTAAAACGAGGACGTTTCATATTAATATTCCAGCTATATGGCGGCGGTCTGTACGTAATCTAGTTTGGACCAGGAAATCCAGTGATCACAAGCATGAGCATCCATCTACGCAGTTGGGATACGATCAAATGTGTCAACCAAGTCAGCGAATCTAAACCCAATCCGCCTCTTACGACAAGCATGGTTTGCTGAAGACCAATTTTAACCCGGATCTTTACGGGTGTACACAGTGTTCAATACAAATACCACAATGGCAACATTGGAAGTCTGAAATGAAACAAAAACGAAACATACTGTAGCACCCATGACTGAAACAACTGCCTCATTGTCAAAGTCAAGAACTGTTATTGACCGACATCATTTTTGTCTATTGGTTTCAAACACCACAAAGTAAATAAACGGTATTTATCAGACAAAAAATCAGACCAAGATATTTTTTAGTGTTTTTTCAATGTAGTCAGTTAAACAGGTTAGGCATTTAAGAGCGTCTTTGTTATAAACGCATTTCATTTTCGAAAAATATTAACTAAAGTCCCACCAAATCTGTCTCGAAGAGTAACCATGATTGCTTCAAAGAACTGTCTCTATATATTCTCCGAAAGTATTTGAGACAAGTGCAAGTATTTCTACGTTGAATCTCAAAATTTCAAAGGATATCTACAACTTCAGAAAAGAGATTGTTTGTCAGTATATTTGATTTTTAAAATATCAGATACAATTATAGTGAAGGGAAACGTAATAACCTAATCTAGTGTGCATTTGTTACTTAAGGTGGCGATAAATTAAGCACCACCTGACAATTTTAACATTTGGACTAAACATGCAGTCATACCCTCATATAGTGAAAGGCAAATGTAAAATATGTGCTTCACACAATATCTAAACATCTATGGTGTCTGTTCACGTGCTTCTATTATGTTGGTTGGTGTAACGCCACACTATTCCAGCTATATGACGGCGGTCTGTAAATAATCTACTCTGGACCAGACAATCCAGTGATCAACAGCATTGCTTCGAAGGCGCCATTTACATTAGGGCATAAATTTTATATTTACAGTAGGTGTACAAAATGCTGCTGAATTGATTTAAAAGATTAAAGAACTAAGAATTAACTTTTCTTGTTGTCTTTCAGAACATACACAATAGTACGTTATTGACATGCATGATGCAAGGATGTCCCGTCGCAACATCAGTGTTAACTTGAACAATAATCCACACGGTTATTAGTCGACTTGAAAGAAAGTGTTCAAGGTGGACTAACGCTTAGTCTCTGAATAAATGTAACCTTGATAGATACAAATAATTCCATTGAAATTGAAAAGTGCGAAGTGAGATTCGGAACCTGATGAAATCTAGACTTGCTTCATCAACGTCTTTAGCGTTGCAGAAAGGACTGAGCGGAAGGGGGAAACGATTATGTTCAGGGACAGTGTGACAGACTAGTGGCCCCGGTAAAGTAGAGGATCGTCCAAGACCTGGACAAACGGGGAAGACCAATGTCTGTGATGACCTAATGAGTCCTCACAAAACGCAAAAAGCCGAAGAACTGCACTGGCTATGGAAAGTGGGAGCTCTCCAATAGTACCATCAGAGGGGTTTGTGACGTACCATCGAGGGGCATGATACGATAAACCTTAGCGGCCAACTGGTAGTATCACTACTTCATTATGATTCATAAACACATGCTGAATCGTACACTTATTATTAAAATATCTGTCGCTATATTTACTACTGCAGGGGCGCAAGGGGAGGCCTAGTCATCTAACGAGACGCAATTTCTGTGCAGTGCTGTCCCAGCTGACTGTTTGTCACTTGTCTGACAGCATCTGTACCAGAACTGTTCATTGAAAGAAATTTGAATTTGAAAACTAAAATGTCAGCTCTGCCTTCTGGTAAGTTTGAAAATCAGATAAAATATCCGGATCCACTTTCAGCCAGCTAGCGCAATTACAAAATCATTTGACAAAAATGTTTTAGACACATACCTTGTGATGAGAAGGCGATCACGTCTACCCAGAGAAGTCCAGAGACGAGGTGAACCAGCCACGGTGTCATTGTTGTCCCGGACGCCAGCCAACTGCCTGTTACTTTATAGAAAGTCACTGCTGACAGTCCTAATGTCTTTAATATCCTCAAGCAAATATGTTTATAGAAGACAAAGGTATTGTTCTTCTGATCTTAGCTTCTAGTATATTTTGCATACAGATATAATGATCTACCATTTCCATACGCTGTTTATCGAAGTTATACCTTGAAGGTCAAGCCGCACTGATCTTTGTCCCAGAAGTATCTCCAGTAGTGATGAGACTGAAATACGATAGCCATTGCAGGGATGAGGAGAGTGATGGACGATTCGAATACCCATTGATTTCTACCTTTAAGGCCAATGTATTGGCTGGTCCAAAGATATCTGGTTTCAAGGAACCACCTGGAATCGTTTACTGTCAGAAATCTTTCTAATCGATCACACTGTGAAGGTTCCCAGGTAAACAAGTGCTATCTTTTAACACACAGATTACACATGCCAAAGACTTCGTGTTCGTTTACAAATTTAGAAGACATTGCTTCGAATATTGCTGTTCTAAGTCTTCAATGTTAAGATAAACTGGCCTTGGTGTTAATGGTATCCCAGGTGTATTTGTAGAGCTGCCACCACAAGGCAAGCAAAACGAAAATTATCAGTTAGATCAATGGATAATCTAACAAAAGCGTCAACACACCACTAAAAGGTGTACTTATAGAAGTACACACATCAATGAAAAGAGTTCTTTGTCCGTGTTTTTTGTAATAGTAAATATATTTCTTTGTCCGTGTTTTTTGTAATAGTAAATATAGTACTTTGCCTGTTTTTTTGTAAGGGTAATATTTCAAGTGAAGTTGTAGAGGACGATGGTAGCATGATAAGTAAAGGTATTACGTTGTAGTAAGAATAATAGAGTAGCCAGAAGTGATGTGATGATGTGATGATAGCAGTAGTACTCAGTTTTATTTCGTGAACTGAAATAAGGTCTAAACTTGATTATCTCAAACTTTCAAAGTAATCTCGCGAGAAGTGACTTGTCACGTGATCATCCTCTTTTCTGTGGCTCTCAAGACTTTCGAACGAGGAAGTTTTAAATTAATCCACGCGTTAAAGGACATGCCCGTCCGTCCCTGTGGGAACGTGAATGAGTTGTCTAGTTTGTGATGTGTACGTGCATGTATTTTTGGTAACATTTAGGAAATAAGTTTTCATGTCATCATGGCGACTTAGTCGGATCACGACACTTCCGGAACCAGTAGTGTTGGGAATTGGTTGAAATCTCACAATTGATGATTGCTTCATTACCAACGAACAATCATCGAAAAAAATTGGTTAGCGTCATTTTTCAGATTTTCCTATCCAGGTTGTTATTGCAGATATGTATAACATGATGCAACTTGCTACTTTAAAGTGATGACTGATATATCATGAACATAAACTTCCGGGAGTCTTAGAGAAATATTTTCAGATAGTTAAGTGAATTAAACACGTTTTCAGGCCCTGACAACTTCTAAGATACGTTCCATTGTCAAGTATTTCAAAGACTAAAACAGTAGTTCCAAAATCGTTTATGTTCGATTATGAGAAAATGTGATCGATTGCTTGGTCGTTTGGTCACTGCGACCAATCTTCGATTATTTCAATTAATCGGAACACCACTAGGAACCAGCCATAAGGCTCACAAGAAGGACACCCAAGAGGAACCAGCCAGCAGCCAAATGGCACAATGCAGGACTGACAGACTTTTCACTCTAAATGACAGACAAGAGGCACACATGAACAATTCAGCATATCCCAAGAACGTTCAAACATTCCAAACATTCCAAATACTACCGAGAACACACGGTTCACAAAATGAATACCAGCAATGCTATCGGCACCGTTTCACTACAGGCACTTGCAGATACACAAAACCATTGCTCTCCAGAGTCACAGGTACGCAGCTTAGTGCAGAATCCAGGGAATATCTGTGTTGGTGGATTATCAACCTGCAGACCAGAAACAGCAAGACAAGGGGGCAGAGTATTGACTGGCCAGGACTATTTGCATATGGAGTCTGTTCGAGTGGATGCAACACATGAATGTACTAGAGATGACAGCTTCACTGTTTGTAATGCAAGCTTCTGCCAAGTTCAGATGGGACACACGATCCCTAAACCTTCTACATGTAGGCAGGCAACTGCGGGAGTTTTCTCGCTGAAGAACGAGTATTCTCAACAAATGACCGCAAGCATGAGCAATCTGAGGACGGATCTGTTTGCCAATCAGTTTGCCAGTTGGTGCCCAGCTCCTATATCAGTAGCGGGAGATCCATTCAGTCTGAATTGGGGGACCAAGATGAGCGCAGCAGAATAGTCACAGAGACCCCGACTTGGCAAACTGAACCATGTTTTCGTCCATTCTGAGCATGACGATTGCTTGCACGATACTGTTACACGGGTCTGAAACTCCTGGTGGGCATGATACATGTACTACATACTAGAAAACAAGTTATAACTAGTGACATGGACAATATCAGGTTTAGAAATGTTCTCATCAGGAATTTCTCAGACTGCAAAAACTTACTGTCTGGGGTTGAATTACTGTCAAAATTTGACAGAACGGTACTAGGGCATCCTACAACAGCAGCTGGAAAAGGGGGACATGCTGGTGTGAGTGGAAGAAATATGCTCCATTACAAGCATTAGTGAACAGTTGTCAGGTAACTACAACACTAACATATGTATAGGATCAGCATTATCTGCTATTCACCCGCACATACATGAACTGCCTATCTTTAAACATCCATCATTCAAGAAATGATGGCCATCATATACTAAGGCCTTGCCGAGATATAGGGATATATGGGATGAAGATCAGCTACTTGATGACATAGTATCACTGGGACATATCTTGAGTGAATTAACACTGACAGCAACACAGATAACACTAAATACCGCTTGTAGAGCCCCTGAGATTCAACGTGAACAATGAATTTCTAAGATTTACGGTGGAAAAGACCAAAACCAGGAAGGTAGGTCAGGCATCACAGAATTGAGTGAGTATTAAATGAGTATGATTTTACGCCACTTTTAGCAATATTCCTGTAACATCGCGAAGGGGGACACCAGAAATGGGCTTCACACATTGTACCCACATGGAAAATCGAACCCGGGTTTTAACCACTAAGGTACGCAACCGTCCCTCAACTACCACAGAAAGTGGTCATATGAAATTATAACATTTCACATATTGGCACTGTTAAAACACTGAAAGTTAATAATAATCACGTTGAACACTGGCGCGAGTCATCTGATCAACTACTCAAATTGGTTCTAACTTCCCCGAAACCAGGCTAGTGATCTAGCAAGCTTGAGGTACAGGGATCGAGCCCACCTGTGACCGGGAGTGAAAACCTTGGTGTCAACTTTGTGTGCAGTGTTGTCACAGCCCCTAGTATTCAGTACACAACCCTGTGCACTTAAAAGAACCCACGAATCCGTTAGGCCAGATGGTGGCCACACGAATACGTGCAAACACCAAGTTGCGGGTACAGCAACGTGCATTAAACTTGGACAAAGTACTGTGACTATGTGACCCATCCCACCCGGCTGTGACTGGGTACTTCGAATTGGTAAGGATGTGAAAGCCACATTAACTCGGTTCGCCTAGTGGCTGCAAGAGTTGTATGATCCCCAGGGAGTTGAGATTGATAATACGAAGTGCCATTTGAGTTTGACATCCAATGATCAAGAGAAAAACAAAGCGCCTTTGAGCTGCTGAGCTTGATATACACATATTAGCATAATAATAAAACACTCAAACCAGGACAGGTTTCTACAATCTCGGTGTGGGTCAAGAAATTAATGAGGGAGGCGGGGAGAATAACAGGCCCACTTAGTGAGGGATGCCAGTACATCAAAAACATTTAAACACGGAGTTATAACTGAGGAAATCCTTGATTTTGCTAACTGAAGCAAAGTTCTACACGTTCTGTGACAAAGAAACTAGGCACAGTAAATGTGTATCAACAATGTGTTAACAGAACATCTCCCAGTTATTATGCTGTAACTAGTCATGATAATATCTGGTTCAGTTAAACGTATGGGAGGATCGATATCATAGAGTATGTGGAGAAGAGCAAGCTTGCTGTTTCAACCCGTCTTGGTGTCAGCCTGTTCAGTTCGTTAATAGACCGGGCACATTTAACTGTCCACATGGACCCGTCTAAATGTCTGACTGTATATTGTTTCACAGTGGAACAAAATGAGAACAATGACAAGTTGCTATGTTTGATGGAGAGCTAGACTTTTACTCGGTTCACTCCCATAATGCAGAGTCTCTGTTCTAATTTCTTAGACCATGCCTATTTAAGTACACGGGTACAGTATAGAAAAACCAAGTGCAACCAACCATATATTGTGTTGGTTTAAGGGTTCCGCGTTTTTGGAGTTCTGCGTTTAGGGAGGACACCCTTTTACTCATGTGTAGAATGACCAGGTGACAGGTCACTTCTCGCGAGATTTCTTAAGCTAAGATCTCAATCGAGGCCACAGATTATCAAGTTTAAATGTGGGTTTTTTCAATTCAGTCGTAAAATTATAATTATATAATTTCTAAAGGTTACATCGTTAGTGGTTAAATGGTATGCAGTCTTATAACTATGTACGGAGAAACAAAGTAATGGGGAGACTTTTAACTTGAAAGTTAGTAATGGAATACTACGCAGTCTTATAAATGGCTAGTGAGTGATGAGATATTAATGCAATCCTTTCAAATGGGAAGTATGTAATAACATGCAATATTAGGTAACTCATATACACAGATACTTACCTACCTGTCAGGCGAGCCCCGGAAAAGCCAAAATGTTACCTCAGATGCAGTTGCTAATGACGCTCAAAACAAATATAGTGAAATTTCGCCATACATAAAGCCTCCAAAAAAAAAGAAATTCAGTCGAATATCGATTTCACGAAACCATGCGTCTTGAACTACAGTAAAAGTTTAATAAGTCCTCGTTCGAGATTATTTAAACATAACTACAATTGTCTCGAAATAATCGATTCATACAGATTTCATGAATATACTGTAGATCAATGCTATACATAGGTTCAAGCTTGTGCGATCTGACAAATGTGTTTACAGTAAGCAGCAAGCGGATCTGACGACGTTGTTCTGATGTTGCTGAAGATGTTTTGGAAGAGGCAGACAATCAGAAGTGCTAAACACGAAATATTGTTCGTTCATTGATCGTCGCTACTCAATGTTTGTTTATATTCGATGTTTATATCCCACGTGGTGTTCACGTTGACGTGAGAAATATGAACGTGTTTGTCCATGGCAAGCTACTTGTGATTCTTATAAAGCAGTCATAGCATGAACAGAGGGATTCAAGGCTCTGAAGCTAACCGTATTGATATTGAACTTTTTCAACATCATGATGGCTCAACTTACTCGTGACATATGTAGTGGTTCGAGCCGGTAGTGCCGCCATCTTGACTTCAAAGGAGGTAGTCTCGACCCGGATGTATTCATGCTGCCCTTACCGCCAGGAACTTTTTCAGAATGTTACTTCAGAATCCCGTATGTGGACTATATTTCTTGTTTCGATAGTTTTTAATAATAATAAACTGCCACGGCTTTCTCTTCTACAGATCCAAATCTTTAACGCCACTTCTCCATCGCCATAAGATGATGATATTTTTCTCTTCTTCTCTTTGTTCTATCGTACAGACTGTTACTTTTGTTAATCAAGGACTCTGAAAGGTGCGCTTTACTTCCTTATGATGAAAAATGCAATCATGGCATCACAAGTGTATGAAATAAGGCCCGTCCGACCGCCCGAGACGGTCTAGATTTCTGACGGATGGTCTAAATTTACAGCTAGCCAGCACTATGGTATGGTTAAAAAAATTAAATGTTTCATAAATCTTGGTGTTTGGTCTGGTTAAATCCATTTTGGGCTGGTAACATTTTTGACGTCCTGATGTCTGGCTGGGTTTTTGGCTTATTTCATACATTGGCATCACATTAGTAACAATGACACGTTTTCCGTAAATTCTAAAATGAAGAACTATCTATGGCCATACAAAGACTGGACCGCCATGATATTGCTGGTATATTTCTAAAAATGCGTTAAACCAAATTCGCTGATCTTTCTTTGGAAGAAATATAGTGTCGATTTATCGAACAATATTAAAAGCATAAACACCATTTGCATAATCAAAAGAGTGAGTGGGTTTAGTCTTACGCCGCACTCAGCGATATACCAGCGGTGTGTGAATAATCGAGTCTGCATCCAGTGATCAACAGCATGAGCATCGATCTACGCAATTGGGATACGATGACATGTGTCAACCAAGTCAGCAAGCCTGACCACCCGATCCCGATAGTCGCCTCTGACGATAAGCATCGGTTACTGAAAACCAATTCTAACCCGGACCTTCACGGATCATCGGGGAAAGGAGGATCGATATCATGGAATATGTGTAGAAGAGGAAGCTTCCTGTTTCAACCCGTCTTGGTGACAGAATTCAGAAGTTATTGAACATTAAAATTCACACTGAATACGTTTTCAGTTAACTTTGAGGAGGAACTGCGGGTTCCTTCAGCATGTTCAGCTTGTTTAATAGAATCAAAAGAACTCCCAGTTCCAAGCACAGCTTATGGAACAATTTCGATGAGCATGGGTCTATGACTCAGAGAGTATCATATAGTTTTGACACCAGATATTTGGGAGAAGTTAAGCGTATACCGCAATACTGGCCGCACCTGTCATAAACACATGCAAACGCGAGTCAATTATTTACCTACGAACACATGGGAACATGTTGTAAATGTCAAAATAGGGAAACTGCATAGGAAATCATTGTTGTCATGGATGCGTCGAACACTTTCTACATGTCTACCACAAACGATTTTGAAAGGTTTAATGAACTCCCAAAACGTCCTACATGGGCAGGTATCTAGTTCTATGACAATCAGAGTGGGTGAGTGAGTGGGTTTAGGTTTTAGCAATATTCCAGCAATATCACAGCGGGGGATACCAGATATGGGCTTTACACATTGTGCCCATGTGGAGAATCGAACCCGGGTCTTTGGCGTGACGAGCGAACACTAGGCTTTCCAACCACCCCCCTATTGGACATTGGAGTACACTTTCTCAGAACAGTATAGACACGGGTATAAGAAGTCCTGAAAGATTTGAAAGTACTAGAATTCCGAACATAACATATGTTATATCATGTTTCACCAAAATATCTGATTTCATGAAATACTCAATACATTTAACAAACGCAGTTAAAAGGGTTTAGGATAGAACCGGGTGGTCTTATCTGCTAGACTGTATGACAATTATGTGGAGGTTTCAAGACAAGTGTGTAATATGTCATTGAAAATATTGTTATACTCAGAACAATAAATAACTAAAGCTACTTGACATATGGATGTAATGCATTTCTTAAACATGCACCGACTCTCAATCGACGTGTCTAGGATACTGCGCCTATTGGTGACGAAATATTTCTTCACGTGTAAATCATGAGTGAATCATGTGTGGACCATGGCATGTTTGTTCTTACAGGAAAGCTGGTTTGTTCGTGCACGACAAGGATGTATATTCTTTGTCATAATACTTATGTATTCTTTGAAATAATACCTATTTGTACTTTGTAATAATACTTATGTAATGTAGCTAATGCAGCTTTCGCGAGATTTAACGTTTCAATAGTTTGATCAATATTGATATTTGTCCGTTGACAGGAAGCGTTATATCCTCCCTTTGGTCGTGAGGTCTCCTGATGCTTTCAATGGCTTACAGAACGGTATAATAACATGTATATTACGCGATACCTTTCTCTCCTCTGAATATATGTTCCTGATACTGATGTCACGTGGAAAACCCTTGGGGTTTTTATAATCCAGGCTGGTTTTTGTTTAAAAAAATACATATAACCTGAAAAGAATCAAAACCGTAACAAATCGTTTATCATCAGTTCCTAAAACAGGGCAAATAAGAAGCAGGATAGTGGTATTGTCAAAAGACATAAAATAACTAAATCAATGCAAAATATTTGGTGAATGAGAACAAGGACATGCAGGTAAAGTGTCCACAGTTTTGAGTATGACGACAATTCAGAAATCAGCACTTTAAACTATTATCCTGCACAATAGCACACTTGTCCGTCAATATCGAGTAGGCCCACCACTGGTATCAAGGCCAGGCTCGAAGACGGGCATACGATACAAGACGTCTGATCAATATATTAAATGCGACGCCATTATTTCCGAAGATTCTGCGATAACCGATCCTTGTTACAAGAGCGAACTGGTCGTGCCCTTTCACAGGCATGGTGAACCTGCAAGTGTTCTGTAAGTGATATGTCTGGTGATAAGTTTACCTTTACGACCTTGGCTGGCATAAATCTCAAGTTTCTGCACTTGGACTGAACCATGGTCCCGGGGATCCTGCAGGATTAATACAACAAGGCGGGGAATTTGAATAATGTTGGCCTTCCTAGTGATATTCCCATCCAAAATCACCATATCAGTCTTTAATTGTTCACAGAAGCCGATTCACACTGCCGTTAACTCCCAACCCTTCGTTATCTTGAGCGCAACAACGTGACCTTTGTTATTCTCGTTGGCGGTAGGCATGACCTCTCTGCTGAAAAGCTAGAAACTTCTCGGGTCTATGAAGGTCACTGATTCTTCAGGTTCTGCCTGTGTCACGGTGTCATCGAAGTGGGTGTTAAGGTGTCAATTTTATGCCTACGAGTGGTTTTATGCCGCTTTCAGCAACATTCAAGTAATATCACGTCGGGGGACACCAGAAATGGGCTTCACACATTGTACTCATGTGGAGAATCGAATGCGTGACGAATGAATGCTTTAACCATTAGACTACCCCACCGTCCCTATGCCTACGAGGAGTCGGTTAGCTCTGATAGTGTACCGACGCATTCTTGTGGGCAGTGTCCAGCCATTGACAGCTGGGCCAATGCCAGTCTCCGCTAATGACGTCCACGTGAGACTTTGAGTTGGACACCCTATTGAACAGTATTTCCATGTCCCGGCGTGTCAGTTTAATGTGGAAAGAAAGTCCGAAGTGATGTAGGTCTCAGACGTGTACCAATTTGGTAAGCTCTTACAAATCTAGAGGCATAATCCGGGGAACCGGGATTCGAACACATAACCATAGGTATCAGGTGGGACCAAGGGACGTAACTCCGTCAGGCAAAACTATATAGTTTTATGGCAGCATTGTCCATAAATGATCCAGACACCTTTATGCCGTTGTACACTCTTGGGATTACAATCCCCAGGAATAGCTTTGAGCTGGATATGCAAAAGGTCATACAAACATGGACTGGATTCAACAATGAAAGACAAAGACATCGTTTTGTAACGGTTAAAATGATATTTCGTTATGTCCACCGGTTGTTATTTAAGAATGTGATCAATGGGTGAATAACCTTGAATAAATTCAGGTTGTGTCTCTCGCATAACGTACATACGGTTGTGTAGAAATATGCATCCGGGTACATGGTTACATTCAGATTGTAGAGGTACCCCACAGGCTCTTGACATCCGGGTGAATAGAATCTGTTTAGAATTTGAATTCAAAATAAACTACAGAAATCTGAATATGTGGTGGGTGAATAGAATCCGCCAAGCATTACGTACCCGGATACTTTGATGAAGCAGTAGGCATACGCCATGGACAAGGTGCACGTATATATCAATGTAAACAGGACGGTTTTATTCACACTACATATTCAGATTTCTATATTTGATTTTGAATTCAAAGTTTTCGAGCACAACAACATCCGGGCACGTCGAGCAAGACACTCCAGAATCAGCGACAGAAGAGCGCCACCTAGGCCAATGAACAGGACGTAGAATATGCTCTGTATGTCGGTCAAGGTCACTGTGACGTTCGTCCGAGCGTCACCTTCACATTGCCATTCGTTAAGTAACCACTTTTTATCCAGCATCCGCAGTATTCCATTCTCCTGGAGATTCAACATTCTAAACAATAAAGAAAAATATGCAAGCAACATGATTTCAGGGCATGCAATAGGCATAAGGTAGCGATGTGATTTGTTTTTCAAATTACTTGTACTCAATCTGTATATCTTATGCAAAATGAAATTTCGTATAAAATAAGTGTGTAACTTCGCCATTATTTCTTTGTTATAATGGTAATCGATAATCAATAAAAAGTATATAACACCATCAAATAAAGAAAAAGAGTCAGATTCACTTAAACTGGCACTTCATATTATGATTTAAGTTGGTAGGCTTTTCTTAATTCACAAAGTCAGGCCCATTGTCATCGAACAGTCACATCCAATGTCAAACAGTTAGACACAATGTCTTTACTCAAACAAGCACGCCTAATGTCTTTACTCGGTAAGGCCCATTGTCTTCACACTATAAGTAACACCCCATGTCCTTAATCAAACAGTCACACCCAAAGGCTTTACTCGGGTAGGCCCATTGTCTTCAATCGAACAGTCACATCCGATGTCCTTAATCAAACAGTCACACCCAAAGTCTTTACCCAGATAGGCCCATTGTCTTCAATCGAACAGTCACATCCGATGTCCTTAATCAAACAGTCACACCCAAAGTCTTTACCCAGGTAGGCCCATTGTCGTCAATCGAACAGTCACATCCGATGTCCTTAATCAAACAGTCACACCCAAGGCCTTTACCCAGGTAGGCCCATTGTCTTCAATCGAACAGTCACATCCAATGTCCTTTATCAAACAGTCACACCCAAAGTCTTTACCCAGGTAGGCCCATTGTCTTCAATCGAACAGTCACATCCAATGTCTTTCCGCTAACAGTTAGACCCAGTATCTTGACTAAAATAATCACATGCAATGTCCTTACTCAAACAGTCAGACCCAGTGTCTTTTCATATGCAGAAATATCTTACATTTCGTCCAGGTCTTCCTTCAGTGGGGATCCTTCTGGTAAAGCGAGCCCTTTAGAGTAGACGGTGAGTTTCTCTCCCAGATATTCTACATTACAGGCCACCTCCTTACTCATCCGCTCGTGTCCGTACAGCACCGCGTACCGCCCCTTCAGCACCTTCTCAAAATGCTGGTACGTGTCGCCGGTCAGGACTGAGCTGTCCGTCTCGTTGAACTTCACGATGTTCTGCCAGAAGGCCTGGATATCAGGGTCCGTGGAAGTCTGGAGAACACATTGGCTACTGAGGTCAAATGATTGGTATGCATGTATTTACCACTTGGGAAGGGTAAATGTAATAAAAAACGCAGAACATAACTGCAATTGCACTAAAGGTGGACAATATCGACTTTCTTGCAATTCCCTTTTGTAAATTCTACAGTAAAGAACATTCCAGCTTTTCAATTTACAGAATGGTTTTATAGATTTTTATGTTTAATATACAACAAAACTTTCCAATCTTTTCTATTTCCAAATAGAACTAAAGCTCCTTTTGTAACAATCACAAAAACTATGAATGATAAACATATGAACAAGGAACATCGATGGAACAGAATACGCTGTTCGCAAACACACTTGCCATTTGACAGTGACTATTGCTGGAATATTGCTAAAACTGGCGTAAAACTATACTCGCTCATCCACTCACTCATTATCAAATTATGAAATGCCTTCAGCAAACTCAATTGTACCTGTAAGTCAAGCATCATGTCATAAACATGAGACTGTTGAGGCACGGACGGTTTTCTCCTTTAATGACGAGTTCCGTACATGCCTCAGCAGTGTCATGGTCCCTTCCCCCCATGTTGCATCTGTCTGAGGACACTCACCGAGATGAACTGTTCTGTGGATCCGCCGCCGATGAGGCCCCATTTGTAGTCCGTATTCTGCAGCAGCTCCTTCAGGGACGTGAACGGCTTCGCCGTCTTGGGCACAGCGAACACGGCTATGAGGTTGGCGCTGTACACTGACGCCAGGATGATGGTGAACAGCCACCACGCGGCAACCAGGATACGCGCGGACACAGACACAGGGAGGTTGGAACCGCCTGAAAATGTCATCAGAGGATCAACTAGAATGTGAACTGAAACAAACCCGTGACGTCCCGGGTCGGAACTGGACGTCAGCAGCAAGTGAGAGGCAACTAACGGGATCTGGTGGTCAGACTTGTTTGATGCAAGCTCCCCGTATCTCATTCGGTTGATTTATCCGATGTTAGCGCAGCGACTATAATATAACACTCGAAACAAATAAAGGAACACATGAAGAAAGTACAAGCGTTCCTTAATATATTTCCAGAATTTCATCCACAGTGCAATACACACCTTGTGAAGAAAGCTCATGTGTTCCCTTATTTGTTTCCATGAGTATATACATATCCATATCAATATTATCAAGTTATATTATCTATTGAATTCAGGAAACGTTCCACATAGGCTTGGCATGCCTGTGATTTGTTCATTTAGTTTAGCTTTGGTACTGCTTGGATTTCACAAGATGTCGGTGATACAGAAATGTTTTTATGTATGTTTAATTACAGATTTAACTGATGTATGCAAGAGTCGCATTCTTCCCTAGATGTTCCTTCGCTGTCTTTCTATAAGTCTCATAAATCGCTGTTGACGTGTGAAAATTATTTATCATTGAACATAAGTAATAGGTTTAAGCGGCTGTTCACATTATTTAGATCAGGATGTAATGCACTAGGTTTTAAATATATTAGCAGAGGTATTGCCTCTTGTAATGATGATATTGTGTTATGTAAGCACTGAAAAAGTATTGAGGGTGACATTCATATTGTTAATGTTTGTAAACGCTAGTAGGATATACGTCGGTGTTACATTCCGAAAACGGTAGATGAATATTAATATTCTCTCCTCAGCATATGAACATAATCAGACATTAAAATCATAAATAATTTCGTCAAGTTCGTAGAACATGTTTATTCTGTTAGCGTTGTTTTGTGAAAATGGTAATTCAAATCACTATTGTACCACCTTGTACGATGGATCGCATGGCCTTTATACAAAATACAGCCTTCTTCTTCTATAAGATTATGATAAAGTATCTTCGCCAATCCTTGCAATAAGGGAGCTATGAGGAACAGGATTTCCTAGTTCTTAAAATGATGTATTTGTAGATTAAACAAGAACAGCGGTGACAGCAGTGACCAATTTGTTGGTCGGTGTTTAACGCCCCATTCTGTAATAGCTAGGTATATGACGGCGGACTGTATATAATGGTAATCAACTCTGGGCCAGACAATCCAGTGATTGACATGAGTATGGATCTACGCCTTTTGGATACAATGACATGCATCAGCCATGTCAACGAACCCGACCACCCGATCCCGTTATACGCCGCTTACGACTTCATTTTAGCTGACTCGACTACAAATGATATAGTGATACCTCAGTAAAGTACGTACGTTTACGAATATATCGCACTGGTCCCGGGAACTTGTTTTATATTTTAGTCAAGATGTTTATGACGAACTACGGTTATAACGAACTAAAATTAGTAGCAGTCCTTTCGAGCGGGTTATAACCGTAGAATACCGTATTCCACCCAGGAATTCTAAAGGGGACGAACCTTTATGAAATATGGCTCCGAGCATGTACCAGAATGATTCCATGAGTAACGAGCGCGTGGTCCTGCTGGTGAGGTCCCTGAAGGATGGCGCTGCCAGGAAACTGAACAACATGAGGCTGACAATAAGGTAGGTAGCCAGGCCCACCCCGAGTACCAGGGGGTGGTAGACGTCAAGGAGGAGACGCCATTTCCCCTCATCTGACCCTATCTTCCGGTAGACGACGTCCTTGAAGTCGTAGTTGAGCGCCGTGGACACGTAGTCGATCACTGCCTCGCGGCCGACGGTAAACGACAGTCCCGCAACGGAAAAATCCACTTCCTGGAATATTTAGAGAGTGTTTTCATCCTGCAGTATCTAATTATTATATCTCCATTCCAAAATGATAAATACCCTACACCCATTCGGCTACGTATCTTCGTCCATCTTTCTAACAATTATCATTGCGGGGTGGTATAGCCTAAAGGTTAAAGCGTTCCCCCGTCACGGCTAAGACAATGAGTGAAGTCCGTTTCTGGTGTCCCCGCCGTGACGTTGCTGAAATATTTCTGGATATTCCTAAAAGCGGCATAAAACCTTATTCACCTACTATAACTGTCTCAGCACAGATCTTACCTCGCTTTTGAAATTAACAATCAATCAAAGGAATTCTTTCGGCAGTTAGATAGTAATAAAAGAATCTGTAGTTTGAATGTTCTGGTATATGAACATATCTATAACAAGTTTTGTCGATATTCAGAAAATCGGACTGGGCTTTTGACGTGGTCATCGAATAATTTATAAAGTACATTTTTGTGAAAATCGGCCACAATGAACATAATCCATATAGAAAAAGATGTTGATGCATAACACTGTAATCTGATCGTATGTGGACATATTTCCAAATATTATTCCCACAAGTGCGGGTGTGAGAACATGGGTGTATAAAGGGAACACAGTCAATGTTTTGTACGAGATATGTCGTATAATCAAACGTTGGCCTTGACCTACATGAAGCGACAGAGAGAACTATGACGTATGTTTGGTAGAAAATACCCTACAGACACAGTGTACACAAACACACAATGGTGGTATTTACCCGTCGCACAAGCTGACCAACAAGGCCCGTCCATCTGCCGTTCCTCACGCGCCCATAGTTGTCATCGGCCGGCTCTACCAGGCGGTATCTGTAAGGGTAAGATTATATGACGGCGGACTGTATATAATGGTAATCAACTCTGGGCCAGACAATCCAGTGATTGACATGAGTATGGATCTACGCCTTTTGGATACAATGACATGCATCAGCCATGTCAACGAACCCGACCACCCGATCCCGTTATACGCCGCTTACGACTTCATTTTAGCTGACTCGACTACAAATGATATAGTGATACCTCAGTAAAAGTACGTACGTTTACGAATATATCGCACTGGTCCCGGGAACTTGTTTTATATTTTAGTCAAGATGTTTATGACGAACTACGGTTATAACGAACTAAAATTAGTAGCAGTCCTTTCGAGCGGGTTATAACCGTAGAATACCGTATTCCACCCAGGAATTCTAAAGGGGACGAACCTTTATGAAATATGGCTCCGAGCATGTACCAGAATGATTCCATGAGTAAAGAGCGCGTGGTCCTGCTGGTGAGGTCCCTGAAGCCGATGGCGCTGCCAGGAAACTGAACAACATGAGGCTGACGATAAGGTAGGTAGCCAGGCCCAGCCCAAGTACCAGGGGGTGGTAGACGTCAAGGAGGAGACGCCATTTCCCCTCATCTGACCCTATCTTCCGATAGACGACGTCCTTGAAGTCGTAGTTGAGCGCCGTGGACACGTAGTCGATCACTGCCTCGCGGCCGACGGTAAACGACAGTCCCGCAACGGAAAAATCCACTTCCTGAAATATTTAGAAAGTGTTTTCATCCTGCAGTATCTAATTATTATATCGCCATTCCAAAATGATAAATACCCTTCCCCCATTCGGCTACGTATCTTCGTTCAGGAAACAACGTCCATCTTTCTAATATTTGTCATTGCGGTGTGGTATAGCCTAAAGGTTAAAGCGTTTCCCCGTCACGGCTAAGACAATGAGTGAAGTCCATTTCTGGTGTCCCCGCCGTGACGTTGCTGAAATATTTCTGGATATTCCTAAAAGCGGCATAAAACCTTATTCAGCCACTATAACTGTCTCAGCACAGATCTTACCTCGCTCTTGAAATCAACAATCAATCAAAGGGAATTCTTTCGGCAGTTAGATAGTAATAAAAGAATCTGTAGTTTGAATGTTCTGGTATAACATAACAAGTTTTGTCGATATTCAGAAAATCGGACTGGGCTTTTGACGTGGTCATCGAATAATTTATAAAGTACATTTTTGTGAAAATCGGCCACAATGAACATAATCCATATAGAAAAAGATGTTGATGCATAACACTGTAATCTGATCGTATGTGGACATATTTCCAAATATTATTCCCACAAGTGCGGGTGTACACATGGGTGTATAAAGGGAACTCGGTCAATGTTTTGTACGAGATATGTCGTATAATCAAACGTTGGCCTTGACCTACATGAAGCGACAGAGAGAACTATGACATATGTTTGGTAGAAAATACCCTACCGACACAGTGTACACAAACACACAATGGTGGTATTTACCCGTCGCACAAGCTGACCAACAAGGCCCGTCCATCTGCCGTTCCTCACGCGCCCATAGTTGTCATCGGCCGGCTCTACCAGGCGGTATCTGTAAGGGTAAGATCTCGATATATAAACTGTCAGCCAGTACACAGAAGGATGGCCAGCGTGTTCGTACGGTAGTGCGTTATAGTACCATGGTCGGTGTGTCAGTATGATGGCTGGTGTGTATCGGTAGTTGGCATCGGCCGGCTCTACCAGGCGGTATCTGTAGGGTAAGATCTCGATATATAAACTGTCAGCCAGTACACAGAAGGACGGCGTGTTCGTACGGTAGTGTGTTATAGTGCCATGGTCGGTGTTTCAGTATGATGGCTGGTGTGTTACGGTAGTTGGCATCGGCCGGCTCTACCAGGCGGTATCTGTAGGGTAAGATCTCGATATATAAACTGTCAGCCAGTACACAGAAGGATGGCGTGTTCGTACGGTAGTGTGTTATAGTACCATGGTCGGTGTGTCAGTATGATGGCTGGTGTGTTACGGTAGTTGGCATCGGCCGGCTCTACCAGGCGGTATCTGTAGGGTAAGATCTCGATATATAAACTGTCAGCCAGTACACAGAAGGATGGCGTGTTCGTACGGTAGTGTGTTATAGTACCATGGTCGGTGTGTCAGTATGATGGCTGGTGTGTTACGGTAGTTGGCATCGGCTGGCTCTACCAGGCAGTATCTGTAAGGGTAAGATCTCGATATATAAACTGCCAGCCAGTACACAGAAGGATGGCCAGCGTGTTCGTACGGTAGTGTGTTATAGTACCATGGTCGGTGTGTCAGTGTGATGGCTGGTGTGTATCGGTAGTTGGCATCGGCCGGCTCTACCAGGCGGTATCTGTAAGGGTAAGATCTCGTCTTATAAACTGTCAGGCAGTACACAGAAGCTGGTGTGTTCGTACGGTAGTGTGTTATAGTACCATCGTCGGTGTGTCAGTATGATGGCTGGTGTGTTACGGTAGTTGGCATCGGCCGGCTCTACCAGGCGGTATCTGTAAGGGTAAGATCTCGATATATAAACTGTCAGGCAGTACACAGAAGGATGGCCAGCGTGTTCGTACGGTAGTGTGTTATAGTACCATGGTCGGTGTGTCAGTATGATTGCTGGTGTGTTACGGTAGCTGGCATCGGCCGGCTCTACCTTACTCTATCTGTAAGGGTAAGATCTCGATATATAAACTGTCAGGCAGTACTCAGAAGCTGGTGTGACAGTAAGGTGGGTGGCTTGTTCGTACGCTAGTGTGTTATAGTACCATGGTCGGTGTGTCAGTATGATTGCTGGTGTCCGCTGGTTAAAACAATAAAATAAGTAGGCCTATGTTAGGCAACGGGTAAAACACGTGCCTATACACACATCTGACATAGAGAATCGGTCTTCAGCAACCCATGCTTGTAGTCAGATGGCGACTAACGGGATGGGGTCAGGCTCTCTGACTTGGTTGATGCATGTCATCGTATCCCATTTGCATAGGTCGATGTTCATCATGACAATCACTGCATTGTCTGGTCCAGACTCGGTTATTTACAGGCTGCTGCCATGTTGCTTGAATACCGCAGAGTGCGGCACATCACAGACAAAGAAATACATATATTATTCCTTTCAGACCCGATTCATATGACTCACGTGAAATTCAGCCTCTCAGAGATACCCTTCAGCAAATCCATGCAAAATCCAGAATAGGTTGTGTTCGTTCCCGACACTGATTTGATAACAAATCCTGGCCACTGTGAAAACAAAAATGTGATTATAATTTATATGCATCGTCCAACCGCAACAAACAGATTATATACGGTATATATTACATCTCGATACGAATAAGGGACTCGAAAACGGCCCCAAAACGAAGAATGAATAAATGAATGAATGAATATTCGTTTACGCCTCATTAGCATTTTTCCAGCTCTTCGTGGCGACCAAAAACGAAGATGAACTTGTCTGCGACGAGGAATATGCAGAATATGCTATTCTACAGAATATTCCCTCCGGGTCATGTATATATGGTACAGTTAAAGCACACAATTTCATAACAACTGACTGAAACGTTCACTCAAGCACAATGCAAACTCGTTTCTGATTGGGCGTTATCTACCCCATGTGCCCCGCTCACAGGTAAGGTATACGTACAGGTGTTATATTCTAAATTGAGAAATACCGGATCTCTTACTTATATGTGTATGCGAATATTGTGATACGATACAATATCTCGAAACTGAACACCTATTAAAAGCAGTTTATCGGAGATAACCGAGCATATCCGATTGTTATGAAAGGGCGATAACTTTGAGCGTTTGACGGTGTTTGCTGTTATGGTAAATGACCGAGAAATTGAATAGTGTTGTATCCGTCGTTTCACAAGTCATACATATCATTCAGGTTTGGTTACAATATGCCCATCTGCGTAGGGTTAAAATAGCTGACCGTTTTCCCGCGCATACGTTCGGTTGCACGTGACGTATGTTACAAACGGAAGAGAGTTACCTCCCCTAAGTCTTTGTCGCATATAAATATTAATTAATATTGATCGAGAATATTAAAGGTAATTACATTGCCAGAGGGTCCTTTTGGGGGTTCAAGGGTTAGTACAAGTGATCATATTCCCTCAAGTCTAGTCGACTTTATATAATGTCATCTTGAGGCATCTCGCACTCTGAGTAAATCAAGCAATATCGGTGTGTGTGTGTGAGAGAGAGAGAGAGAGAGAGAGAGAGAGAGAGAGAGAGAGAGAGAGAGAGAGGGAGGGAGAGGGAGAGAGGGAGAGAGATGTGATTTACTAACTGAGAATACACATCGACTATTTATTGGCCTAGTTAAACAATTTAACGATAGTCACTGTGAATCAATACAGTTTCTTTGATGAGATGAGAGATCAAACTGAGAATGCACATCGACGATATATTAGCCCAGTAAAACAATTCAACGATAGTCACTGTGAATCAATACAGTTTTTTGAGAGGTTTCACTGAGAGGTCAGTGGTCAGTGTATATCTTGGTGTTGTAGCTCACCGGCATGGTTGTAATAACGAACTGTCTCTGATTGAACCCCAGCGGTATGTTTGGGAACACCTCCCCAACAAACTTGTCTCCAGATATATGTCCAACACAACTCCAATTCCGTCGCCCTGGTAACCATAACAACGACATCAAAGGAAGTGCTATGTCCCGAAGTGATGTCTGAAAGATACCAAACATATTTGTTGAAATAACAGTGTGTCTTAAACAGTGATCGACCCCACGTTCGTCACGATTTCTGCGTCTCTCCACAAGAAGTCGCTGCGACTGTACAGCCTTGTCTGTCTGCAGCATAATATCTTATTCCACACAAACGAATATACGTAATGGTGAGTGAGTGAGTTTAGTTTTTATGCCTCCTTTAGCAAAATTCAAGCAATATCGAGGAACACCAAAATGGGCTTAGCTGTGTACCAATGTGTTGAATTGAAGCTGGGTCTTCGGCGGGACGAGCGAAAACTTTAACCTCTGGGCTACCCCACCGCCCCAAATATATGTAATATATACAGATGGGGGTCCCTTGCTGTACCCATGCTGTAACAATCGATATATACCACAACAATACGGTATTAAATTTGAAAGTTTATCACATTGTACACGTACCGTGTGGGAGATGTTTGTCTCTTGCACTGGGTTGAGGTCAAATGGCACCAATATACATGTCACGTGATCTAGACGACTTGCAGCTTTGGCAACAGCGGAAGTGACGTTGTCCGATACCATCAGCAGCCATCGCGCATGATGACGCATGTACGTACGTTTCAAGGATATATCGTCCACAGAATTTGCCTGGAAGCAAGCAAGTAACTTCAGAGAAGGAGACGGGGCTGAGAGTACATACCTCTCTTTGCAGGGTATGCTGCATACTTCCAAAGGGGCCCAAACACCTTACACAGACTTATGGCATTTGTGGGGAAGAAAGGGTCAACTGTAAGATTTGTTACACATTCAAAACCCGTTGTGTCGAAGTTATGGTTTCCTCGAAGTAACCATTTGGTCCCTGTTTATTCCTTATTAAGCAATCATTTTTCGAAGTATTTCCTTCAGTCCCGTCAACTTCGACACAACAGTGTTTGACTGTACATTGGAGTGAGTGAATATGGTTTTACGCCGTTTTAAGCAATGTTCCACGGATATCACGGCGGGGGACACCAGAAATTGGTTTCACGCATTGTACCCATGTGGTGAATCGAAGCCGGGTCTTCGGCCTGATGAGCGAACACTTTAACAACTAGGCGACCCCACCGCCCCATCGCCCACTGAATATCTGGACGCTGGGGCTGTGGGTGGCCGAGTGGTTAAGTTTGATCCCCACATGGGTATAATGATCAGCAACTGTATCTGCTTGTACTAGTCCGGATCAAAGCCGATTATATAGTTTATAACGCACTTGGATAATACACTCAGATTTCTGAAATTCCGTTCCTTGCTCGGCGTAACGAGCGAACGCTTTAACCACTAGGCCACCCCACCGCCCCTCAAGGCATGCGACACAAAAAAAGGAGACAAAATGCACATGGGGCAGCAGCTACTGGATGTCGTGTAAAAGACGGACACGGACGCTCTGTTACGGACACGCTGTGCCAATAATTGTATTGGAAACAGGGCATTTCAGAGAATGCCACTTTGTACTTTTAAGAAATTAAACAAATTTTACTTACAATTTCCATTACGGCCACTGTGCAGTCTCCACCACAAACTACCAGGAAGTTTTTGTGGTGGGATTCATCCTCCAAATAGAACTCCAGAAGCTTTGACCGGACATGACGACTTGTGTTGCCATGGAGACTGTCAGGCACGTGCAGCAAGCGGCACTCAGTGACTCTGGTCTTTTCTACTGCCTCGGACAGACTTCGTACAAACATTTCTGTAACAATACCATTCATCTGACATAAAAAGCAACAGTTATTTTTTTAGCATGACTTAGATGTTATTGTCGACCCGGATACCTGTACCCACACCATCCCTGCATAAGATATAATAGCGCTTCGAGTGAGTGAGTAAGGTTTTAAGCCGCCTTCAACAATAAGTCAGAAATACGTCAGCAATATCACGGCGGGGGACACCAGAAATGGGCTTCACATATTGTACATATGTGGGGAATCGAACCCTGGTCTTCGGCGTGACGAGCGAACGCTTTAACCACTAGGCTACCCCACGGCCCAGTACAAATATCGTAGCAACTATGATTTAACACAGACATAGGCAGTCATAGTAGAACGATGCTCATGATGTTGATCATTGGATTGTCTGATCCAGACTCCATTACTTATAGACCGCCGCCATATATATATAAATACATATGGAGTATTGCTGAGTGAGGCATTATACTAATTTAATGACTTCATATTAACATTATCACAAAACACATCTGCTTATGATTAAGCATAACTTGTGTGTTTACTTGAAGGACTCGCGTTGTTTTCTTTGCATGTTTTCATGAGCAAGCATCAACATCCCTATTAACCACTGCAGTTCTACCTGATTCGCGTTTCTTTTGAGGCTGAGTATATATAATATCAATTTAATTTTAGTTTGATGCAGCAGTATTGACAATTCTCACATACAAGAGCAGATTCTGCTGATGACGTGTCATATATATTAGGACCAGATAAACACTGACGTGAGCTCCGATCCCCTCCACCGGCGTGATCACAGTCAATCAAGTGTCCTCTCTCCTATTCAACTCTCCATACGACAGGCATAAGCTGAATCTGCTCGTGAAGGTCTGGGTTAGAATATTGATCTTCAGTAACCCATGCTTGTCGTAACAGGCGACTAACGGGATCGGGTGGTTAGGCTCGCTGACTTGGTTGACACGTGATCGGTTCCCAATTGCGCAGATTGATGCTCTTGCTGTTGATCACTGGATTGTCTGGTCCAGACTCGATTATTTACAGACTGCCTCCATATAGCTGGAATATTGCTGATTACGGCGTAAAACTAAACACACTCACTCTCTCATAAGCTGAATCACTATGAGTATATAAGTTAGCGCCATTTGGTAACGTCACTTCAGAGTCTGGGAAATGACAGTTAAATATTGAGTGTAATCTGCATTAGCAGCCACTTGAACTAACAAGAAGGACTATCCGAGCATCGAACATAACCCACTTCGCTTGATCTATTTCTTATTTCATTTGTTCAAACATTTGAAACATTGGCATTTGTTTTGGAATTCAGTATAGTTTTCAAAACCTATTGTTTCTGTATCACAAAATACCAAACTGTTGGCGCGAGAAACTTGAACGGATGTCACTTTTGCGAAATCATACAAAAATAACATTTTCGCTCAACTAGTCCACTATAACAGATAGTTTTTCCACACTTGTCCATTTGACCAGTTTACTGAATCCAGTTTCCGTTTCCGTTGTATAGCCCATACCTGTTTGATCATCAAATATGACGGTAACGGAACTCCAGTCAAGCTCAGCGAGGATCTGATTAACTACACCCATCAGAAGGCGTTGTGTCTCGCCCAGCGCCGACTGACGAGAGTTCAGGCTATTGTACGTCATACAGCTGGATAGGACGTCCCTGTGGCTGACACCTAAGAGGCAAACAAGACGAAAAGAGAGTGAGTGAACCAATGAGTTACTGTGCCGATTTTAGCAGTATTTCGGCCATACAGACGCTTACGACTTTGATGAAACCAACGAACTCGGCACTGGCAGAAGAAGAATTTGTTATAAAATTCAACTCCCAATGTGGTAAAACTACGGTTTTACATTCAACTCCTAGTATGTTACCACTGAGGTTTCATTTGAACGAATTATGCAATCAGAGTTGTCAATAAGGTTTCATGTAAATATGGTTTCATGCGGTTTCATGAATATGGTTTCATATTGTTTTTTCATGCAAAATCCATTCCGTATTTATTGTTTTAACTCATGTTAAAAAACATTCAATGGTAAAATACGTTGGCTCTATGATTTCATATTAAACATATTCAGGGGTAAAGTGTGTTACCATTGTCATCAAATGTAAAACATATTTAGGGCTTGAAAGGGTTGCCACTACCGTTTCGTGTGAAATATATTCAACAGATAGTGACATGCAACTGTAGTGACAAATGTGTCTCCTCTGAGTGAGTGAGGGAGTGAGTATGGTTTTACGCCGCTTTTAGCAATATTCCAGCAATATGACGGCGGGGGACACCAGAAATGGGCTTCACACAATGTGCCCATGTGGGGATTCGAACCCGGGTCTTCGGCGTGACGAGCCAACGCTTTAACCACTAGGCTGGCCCACCGCCCCGTCTCCTCTGAAGTTTGGAAATATTTCTGTATGTTTTCATAACGCCAAGCATCATAAATACGTTTCTTCTTGTGGCCTATTTCCTTATAAATTGTAGCAAACGGGTTAATTTCTGACAGACGAATTATCCTTTCATGCACTGTAGTTCATTGGACATGCTTTGAGTAATACGTTATATATATAGTGTATATTATTAATCTGATTCATCAAGATGCTCAGAAGCTACAAGTATATTCTACCCTCTTAGCTCTAGAGTCTAGACCAATAACATGTAATTACTGAAGCAGATATGAACTTGTCAGAATTAATAATTGTCATAGGGTTCACCACTAAAAATGAAATATTGCTTGAAACCCATTCTCACTGCTTAATTCATAACATCACTTATAAGTGTAGCCTTGCGAAAATCAAAGGTCCTATGTGTACATATTTCAGAGAGAGGCAAGGGGTGGTGTCGCTTCATTCAAAGATATGTGTGCTCACAAGGATATATTGTATGAAAACATTTACACAAACAAAGGTTATGGGAGCTCGCGTGCGTGTTTTACCTTTGTCACAGGAGAGTCCGAATATCCCCGTCCCGTAGACACACAGGTACAAAGCAATGACTATCTGCATCTCATGATTTGCCATAGTAGCATCCGCCTAAACACACCGTATTGACACTGTGTCACGGTGTAAAAGCATCGTATCTCTGAAACACCATAGCTTCACAGTTAAAACGTCATGGGTCTGATACCTCACAGTCAGATCCCTGAAACACAGTACTAAGTCGTCACATCTCCTTAACAAACAGTGTTAGGGTGTGTAAACGTCACATTTTCTAAAAATCACATTTTCACGGAGTTGAAACATCACATCTCTGAAACACAATAGTTTCACATTCAGTGTAATAGAGTAATATCTCCAAAACACCACAGTTTCACAGTGTTAAAATATCACATCTCCAAAACACCACAGTTTCACAGTGTTAAAACATCACATCTCCAAAACACCACAGTTTCAGAGTGTTAAAACATCACATCCCCAAAACACCACAGTATCACAGTCGTTAATATGTCACATCTCCAAAACAACACAGTTTCACAGTCAGTGTTATAGCATAATATCTCCGGAACAACACAGTTTCACAGTCAGTGTTATAGCGTAATATCTCCGGAACAACACAGTTTCACAGTCAGTGTTATAGCGTAATATCTCCGGAACAACACAGTTTCACAGTCAGTGTTATAGCGTAATATCTCCGGAACAACACAGTTTCACAGTCAGTGTTATAGCGTAATATCTCCGGAACAACACAGTTTCACAGTCAGTGTTATAGCGTAATATCTCCGGAACAACACAGTTTCACAGTCAGTGTTATAGCGTAATATCTCCGGAACAACACAGTTTCACAGTCAGTGTTATAGCGTAATATCTCCGGAACAACACAGTTTCACAGTCAGTGTTATAGCGTAATATCTCCGGAACAACACAGTTTCACAGTCAGTGTTATAGCGTAATATCTCCGGAACAACACAGTTTCACAGTCAGTGTTATAGCGTAATATCTCCGGAACAACACAGTTTCACAGTCAGTGTTATAGCGTAATATCTCCGGAACAACACAGTTTCACAGTCAGTGTTATAGCGTAATATCTCCGGAACAACACAGTTTCACAGTCAGTGTTATAGCGTAATATCTCCGGAACAACACAGTTTCACAGTCAGTGTTATAGCGTAATATCTCCGGAACAACACAGTTTCACAGTCAGTGTTATAGCGTAATATCTCCGGAACAACACAGTTTCACAGTCAGTGTTATAGCGTAATATCTCCGGAACAACACAGTTTCACAGTCAGTGTTATAGCGTAATATCTCCGGAACAACACAGTTTCACAGTCAGTGTTATAGCGTAATATCTCCGGAACAACACAGTTTCACAGTCAGTGTAATAGCATAATATCTCCGGAACAACACAGTTTCACAGTCAGTGTTATAGCGTAATATCTCCGGAACAACACAGTTTCACAGTCAGTGTTATAGCGTAATATCTCCGGAACAACACAGTTTCACAGTCAGTGTTATAGCGTAATATCTCCGGAACAACACAGTTTCACAGTCAGTGTTATAGCGTAATATCTCCGGAACAACACAGTTTCACAGTCAGTGTTATAGCGTAATATCTCCGGAACAACACAGTTTCACAGTCAGTGTTATAGCGTAATATCTCCGGAACAACACAGTTTCACAGTCAGTGTTATAGCGTAATATCTCCGGAACAACACAGTTTCACAGTCAGTGTTATAGCGTAATATCTCCGGAACAACACAGTTTCACAGTCAGTGTTATATCGTAATATCTCCGGAACAACACAGTTTCACAGTCAGTGTTATAGCGTAATATCTCCGGAACAACACAGTTTCACAGTCAGTGTTATAGCGTAATATCTCCGGAACAACACAGTTTCACAGTCAGTGTTATAGCGTAATATCTCCGGAACAACACAGTTTCACAGTCAGTGTTATAGCGTAATATCTCCGGAACAACACAGTTTCACAGTCAGTGTTATAGCGTAATATCTCCGGAACAACACAGTTTCACAGTCAGTGTTATAGCGTAATATCTCCGGAACAACACAGTTTCACAGTCAGTGTTATAGCGTAATATCTCCGGAACAACACAGTTTCACAGTCAGTGTTATAGCGTAATATCTCCGGAACAACACAGTTTCACAGTCAGCGTTATAGCGTTATATCTCCGGAACAACACAGTTTCACAGTCAGCGTTATAGCGTAATATCTCCGGAACAACACAGTTTCACAGTCAGTGTTATAGCGTAATATCTCCGGAACAACACAGTTTCACAGTCAGTGTTATAGCGTAATATCTCCGGAACAACAAAGTTCAAGTCGATAAAACGTCACATCTGAAACACACCACAGATTCAAAGTGTTATACCGTCACATCTGAAACACACCACAGATTCACAGTGTTATACCGTCACATCTGGAACACACCACAGATTCACAGTGTTATACCGTCACATCTGGAACACACCACAGTGTTATACCGTCACATCTGAAACACACCACAGATTCACAGTGTTATACCGTCACATCTGGAGCACACCACAGATTCACAGTGTTATACCGTCACATCTGGAACACACCACAGATTCACAGTGTTATACCGTCACATCTGGAACACACCACAGTGTTATACCGTCACGTCTGAAACACACCACAGATTCACAGTGTTATACCGTCACATCTGGAACACACCACAGATTCACAGTGTTATACCGTCACATCTGGAACACACCACAGATTCACATGGGTTATACCGTCACATCTGGAACACACCACAGATTCACATGGGTTATACCGTCACACCTCCGATACACCACTATAATGGTTATTCCAAGGTTGCCTCAACGACTCCCTCAACTCAACACAATAACGCTCCTCTCTATCAACGAGAATATATTCATTCCTCTGATTTAATTATCCCCTGACTTGCACCACTTATCAATTCACTTTGACGTCTACTTGAACAAACACTTTGTTGGAACCTGCGTCGATACAACTTATATAAACGATCAGGTCGATGATCTTGATATTTACAACTGGAGGCTTTTGACATAATAGATCTAGTCTCGGAACAGGTTTTCCCCTGCTTAGGTGATACTCGTACAAGTGTACTTAGTATCTTGTTTGATTCAGATCATTAACAAATGAAGACGGAAACCGGTCTCCCTGGACGAATTCCAGTTTGGCTTTAGAGACAGGGACGGCGGGGTAGCATAATGGTTAAAGCGTCCGCTCGTCACGCTGAAGACCCGGGTTCGAATCCCAACATGAATACAATGTGTGAAGCCCATTTCTGGTGTCCCCAGTTGTGATACTGTTGGAAAGTTGCTAATAGAAGCGTAAAACCATATTCACTCACTCACTCACTACAGGCGATGGTTGACGCGTCTTTGTGATACTAATAAAGTAGGTCTTATACTCTCACATCCGGTCGTTTTACATGCTGCTGCCAAAACCTGCCATGCTATTTTATCCAAGCGTTCCACTCTCTTATACACCTGATGATTTGTACATATTGTATCAAGGTTTTAATCTTTTAATCTTTTAACCATACCTTTTTTAAACTTATTTGTAAACGGGTTTTTTTCGCCTATATGTTTTTGTATCTGCAATGTAGTCTCTCATAACCCCATGGTGGGTGGCTCGATATATTTTACCTGTATATTTTGTTAATGTATATATTCAATATTGATATGTATCGAGGTGAGACCTAAATAAAAAATCCGTGATATTAGTATAATCTCGCTAAAAGCGGCATAAAACCCAACTTACTCACTCACTCCTGGTGGTCAGCCACCGGCACGAAACGATCTCAGCTTGGGAACGATAGTAGTTTCACCCTTTTAACATTAACTAAAGACCGATCTTAGCGCCGAGTAAGGTCGCTTTGTACATGTGGGTCCAGGATTAATAAAATTGTTCGCGCCTATGGTTCCAACTGAAAGGCGATGTAACTTAAGGACGTAATTCATTAAAATGTTACCTGGCACCACCTGGTAGATGCAAGTTCATTTCTATTTTCAATATGTGAGTGAATAAGTTTTACGCCGCTATTAGCCATATTCTTAATATTCTAACGGTATCACGGCATGTATGGGGGTTGTTCGGTTGGTTGGTTGAGGTGTGTGTGTGCGTGTGTGTGTGTGCGTGCGTGCGTGCGTGCGCGCGCGCGCGCGCGCGTTGCGTTGTTGTTTTTGGTTGGGTTTTTTTGTTGTCTATGTTGTTTTGGTTTTTTGGATTTTTTTGTTTGAGTTTGTTTTTTGTTTTTGTTTTTTGTATATTTGTTGCTTGTTTGGTTTGGTTTTTTGTTTGTTTGTTTTGTTGTTTTTGTTGGTTTTGGGTTTTGGGTTTTTGTTTGTTTTTTGTTTTTTTGGTGTGTTTTTTTTCTTTTGTTTTGTTTTGTTTTATTTGTTTTGTGAGGTTTTTTGGGGGGTATAGGTTGTTTTTTTGTTGTTGTTTTGTTTTTGTTTGTATTTTGGGGTTTTTTTTCTGTTTTGGGGTGTGTGTTTTTTTTGGGGGGGATATGTGGTTCACACTGAACAAAGTTGTTCGCCAAACGGCACGTCAACTTATAGTGCGATATATATTTCATTAGGTGGTGGGGTGTCAGCTTCATAAAATCCGACCAAAATACACCCTGGTGAAACTGGCCAATATAGGTTAGTGCTGACAATCCAAGATTCATGATCGGACAAAGATTCAACCCACAATGCATCTCGCCCGCCAAGGGGACGTAACTCTGAACAGCCACTGCGAAGTCAAAGAGTGAGTGAGAGGGTTTAGTTTTACGCCGCATTTTGCAATATTCCAGCAACCCCCCACTTGGAAAATCGAACCCGGGTCTTCGGCGTAACGAGGAAACGATTTGACCACAAGGCCATCCCACCCCTCTTTAGTATTTACCAGTGATATGTAACACATCTGCGTATCGAAGAACGTGTGTGAACAATCTCGCTGACCTTATGAAACATTGAGCTGTATGTATGTTTTATCAGGGATAATCTACGTTATATAGTCTCCCTGGTTTTATGTACTCATCAACTGTCGAAGCCTTGTGACAACAATGGAACGACCTCGTTATTTGGGCCAATTAACCCAGATGGGGAACCTACTCATCTTATTGCTACTAATTGATAAACCGGTGCTTCACAGATGTGGTAACCCAGCAACACAAACACATCGTCT